CGTTTAGAACGAAAAATACAGCCACCAGGCTCAAAATACAAACGTGCGATTGTCATTTACGGATATTGTGGATCATATTCAACCTATTTTTGAACACGACGGGAATATTTCAAATTTCGTTGAAGTATCCCTTTAAGCGCTCATTCCCAAATTTGTAAGACATGAGGAAATACGCACAGTATACATTTATATGTAAAATTGATGACCGGAGAAGCGCCCATCCCCCATTCTCTCGCAATTATTTATAAATTTTAAGTGGACGCTTGCCCGGTATTTTACGGTAGTAATTAAAAAAAAAATACTCCTAACATCTTAAAACGGGCAAACAAAGCAATTGCTCCACGTGCGAACAATTCCGTGCTTTCTCTAACTAGGGATGTTTTCGTAGATCGTTTTCCCTAACGAAGACGCCGCTAGTGCGCATGCGCGCGGCTAGCCTTGACCACGGGGTTCTTCCGGATTCGGTCGCGGGTTGCAGAGAGCGCTTCGCGACGGAAGAAACGATCTACGAAAACTCCCATTGTTGTCTCTTGCCTGCAAGACGCTTCACGGAGCAATGAAAATTATGTCTGTTTCTTGTCAAAAAAAAAAAAAAAAAAGGAATGGTTTTACAGATCAAAACCTCAACAGAAATAAATTATTGCACCGCTCCCTTTTTCACTCAAGGTCGAGTAAACCTACAAGGATCACTCAATTCTTCGACCTTGTGACGACCAAGTCGAGATATATTCAAGCTGACAGTCAGGGGAAGTAGTCCCCGCGCTCTGCGTCTCGTCGCATGCAAGTGAACTGCACGACGCCAAATGACATGCAATTTTTTGTTTGTAAACTTTGAGTGGAATAAAAGAAAAAAATAGTGAATAATCAATCGCCTTTTTGGTTCATTTTAACCCCCCCCCCCCCCACACACACACACAGACACTACAGTCCATTAATATATTTGGCCCACAGCTATCGGCGCTTTTAGCTGGATATACACATAAAACCAGGAACTTGTAGCTCATTTGGAACTAAGAGTATCGAGGCCATCTTTGGTGCGTGTCAGGAAATGGTTGAGCGGAAAGGGGGAAGGGGGGGTCTCTCATTTGCCGGTGCATCGAGCCTTGGTTCATTAGCGGCATGTCGGCTCTGCCTCCGTCCATTAGACCTGATTAGCATGCGAAATGGCAGACGCCGTGCCACTGGTACGACTGTCAACGGGACAAGCGCAAAACGTCCGTCAGATCACGTCCTGCATGCCATAAGGACAACGCAAAAGAAATAAGAACGCGATTAGCTCTTTACCTTGTTTTTTCCTTGGAGTGTACGAGAGTGCTATACGCGGGTATGCAAGATAATCAAATTCCGTTGTATCGTAAGCTTTTAAGCTTTCTAAAAAAAAAAAAAAGAAAGAAAAAAAGCTAGATTGTTGACGGAAGTTTTAAAACAACAATCCGAGACAAGCAAACTGGACGCTTCTGCAATCTTTAATTTGGTAGGTTTCACTGCCAAAATGTATTGTTCTTCGTGGCTAATCCTGTACATGTCCCGTATGAACTATGCAGAAATCAAGCCTCCAGATAACGCCCACGTGACTCATATCCGTTCCCTACACGTTGCTGCGCCAACCACAAGGGCACGTGGCCTCTCCCGTCGTCCGATTGGCTCGAACAGCTACGGAGCCTCGGCCGACAGAGCCCAAACCAGGCCTGGGGAGAGGACTGCGGGAGGGAGGAAACGCATTCCCGAATTAGGGATTCCGGCTGCGGCTCGCCTCCTCCGAGAGCCCGGCGCCACCATTAACGACACCGCGCGCCTGGGAGGCTTTAATTAAGCCAACGAACCGTGTCCCGAAATTATGCAAATGGCCGGCTCCCGTCTCCCGCAGGCGCCGCGCTCTGGCTCTCGCCCTCCTCGTCCTCGGCAGGGCGGAATGGACAGCACAGCGTGCCCCGAATGTGGGCCAGGTATGCCCCCTCCCACTTCGCCCCCACGCCGAACGAACCCCCGGAGGAGGGCTTCGTTTGAATAGCGGCCGTCGGAGAAGTGCGTCTCGCGTCTTCGGGAATGCAAGGGAATGGGGGGAGGGGGCCATTCGTCAGGGGAAGTAGTCCTCGCCTCGGGCGTCTCGTCGCGTTCAAGTGAACAACCCACTGCCCCAACACCGACAGACTTCCTACAAGAGAGGAGACGGCGGTAGCACGGAAAGTTAACGAGCATTCCCGGCTATAAAAGATGGATGAATTAGCTTAGCACTGAGGCGAATCATCCGAGTTGGACGCCATTTCTTTTCTTTATTTCATGGGACGGGAGAGGAAGCACAATTTGCAAAACATTGAATAAAACTCGGCAACCGCGTTGTCACTCGGTGCACCGGAATCAGCACTGGTCAACTTCACTTGTAGAAACAATTGAAAATCTTTCTAGCCCCCCCTCCCTTTCCTTGGGTAGCGTAGACGACAACAGGTGAAAGCAAATGGATATTGTGATCCGAGATGAAGTATGCGCTAAGTAGCTCAATTGGCAGCCACTATTGTTGATTTCTTTCTTACCAGCTTGAATCGCAAGAGGAAAAACGACTATTTTACCTGTCCATAGTAACCATAAGACGTAGAAACAATAAAAAAAAAAAAAAAAAAAAAAAAAAAAAAACGGACAGGAAAACAAACTCACTTACCAGCTTGCCTGCGTTTTTTTTACCCTTCTTTATTATTTATTTTACCTGCGTTTTTTTGTCTTCAATATTGCAAAATAAAATAGTTATACTTATTTCATATGACATGATATTGAATGGAAACTTTCGAATTCAAATTTTATTCGGTACTCGGGTTGTACAATTGCTTACTGTCATCCTCCGCGTACAAGGGCAGTTCTTAGGTGGTTTCACGATTTTCGTTAATTTTTATTTTATGTTGCCTTGTTTCGGTTGTGTCTCTGTTCCGCTTTTTTTTTTTTTTTTTTGTACTGAAACATTTATGTGGAATTAATATTTGGCATCCGTCGCTGTCGATTCCCTCTTCCGCTTACGGGATTATCATTGGAAATGCTCGCGTCTCTGTCATCAGGACAAGGCCGTCTGGCAGCTCATTGCCCCATTCCTGAAAGGGAGAATTTGTACACATATGGGGTTTCTGTCGAAGCCATTCGTCGAGAGTTTTTCTTTTTATGTTTTGCTTCGGTAGCTTGGTCCGAGTAGGAAGTGACTTCCCTCGAGTCCCGACCTCGGAGACCCTGGCAAGGGCGTGCGATGTCTGCAAGAGTTGCAGCTGTAAGCGGATTGTGAAATATTTTTGGTAAGCCATAGCTTATATAAGCCACTGTTTAGGAACTCAAGCCGGAGCTGGCCGGGACGTTGCTCGGCGTGGTGCGTTGTGTCTGGTCGTGTTGCACCGGCCTGCCGTACGAGTCCACGTCGTCGGACAGTGCCCCGTCGGAGTCAACCACCGAGAGCCACCAACTTCGGTGAGCCAATCACCTGAACATCTTTTGGTTTAAAGGGGCGGTGCAACGATTTTCAGACTTTGGCCAATTAACTGCGGAAATCAATCCGTGTCACCTATGAAACGAATAACAGAAAAGCGTATTTTCTTGCGAGCGCTAATTTTTATGTAAAAAAAAAAAAAAAAAAAAATCGAGTGACGTACTTTGGGGAATTACGTGGTTTCCCGCTGGGTTCTCTCTTCAGAGTGGTCCTGCTTCAGAAACCCCGGCCGCTTCCTCCGCGATTATCGACTTTTAAAGGATTAGCACCGTCGAAGGTCGCGGCGAGCGATCGCCACAAAGGACGGTTCGGCACGGGGGTGACGGCAAGTGGATCAGCGGAGGGGGACAGGGTTGTTCACTTCCGTTCTCAGATCGGGGTCCGCGAAAGCAATCTAGGGCTCCGCGAAGCCCTGCCTCATCAGTCATGCCCGGCAATAAAAGTTGTATATTTTTCAGATTGAGAAGAAACGTTCCAACATTCGGCTCAGTTTTCTCGTGTATATGTCAAGGAGAAGTCTACTTCACACTAGCCCTTAGTTATATCCATTTACTAAATCATTATCGTACTTTGACTATACCTCTCCCTTCCCCTCACTACGAACGGGGTCCTTCGATCATCTTTGCCGATCCACAAAGGGTCTGCGAAACATGAATGGTTGAGAACCACTGCCCTACAGTACGCCACAGATCAGTTCCGTTAACCACCACAACCGGCTGCAGGTCGGCAAATATTTCGTTTTCTTCTTTGAGATTACGCACCGGAATAGCATTTTTTTCGGGGCAAGGTGACGCGTTTTTGGTCACTCGTGCTTGTATAAACAATATAAAAAATACAAATTGTTAATTCTTTCAACACTAAAATCATTGCACTACCCCTAAACTTCGCCCGTTTGGGTATAGTTTTTGCTTCGGAAGACTTTCGGTGTGAGGGCCTGGCCAAAGGAAATGATTTGGGGAAAAAAGAGCGTAGGGAATTTGTTTTCGTTTGCTGTTCCTTGCCTTGTACGCGGTTTGTTTTTAGTGCGAGCGTACGTGCATGCCCTTCAGCTTAGCGGCCTTTTCGATCCGTTTGTTTTTCATTGTCTTGCAGACGTTTACAGTGTTCGGTTGTGGAGTGTCAATTTTTTGTTGGTGTAGCCGTGCCCGGCGTTTTATCGCAGTAGAAAATCTTGTTTTGTTTTGCACAAAGACCCTGTTTCGTCGTCTCTTTGCCCGATCTTGCACCTGGCGTGGACCTATCGCTGGTCACCTATCGAACCTAGTTTAATATTCTTAAGCAATTTTTCGTTTAATCTTGGTGTTTGTTTTATCCATGACAGGTGGGCAGGAATTCCTTTACATAAATCATGACATCACCAACATAATAATAATAAAAAAAAAAGAGAGGAAGCAACCAGTGCAGGTTGTTGCAACAAGTGGTTGCTGTCTACATTCACGTTTCTCTAGGACACAGAACACAGACAAAACGGCGCCAGTCTTCCTCAAACTGCGCTTTTGGGGGGAAATAAATATCAATCCATGACAAGAAAATCAATGAAAGAGCAAGTATGCATTGGGAGGAATACCCTAAAAAATATTTCCTTTATTTTAAAACAATCACAATTTATTAATGGCACATAAGCAATCACCAAACAAAAGCCAGCTTAACTCGCTGGAAATGTGTGGGCCCAGTTCGTTGACTATGTGCATTCTAAAAAAAAAAAAAAAAAAAAAGAAACACTGCCCTACATTAATCCAACAGACAAGCCCTATGCATAGATTTTTGGTGCAAGGTGCCATACCAAAGCTTCCATTGTGCTCTGAAGGACTAGCTCACAAATAAAAAAACAAATAGAAAAAAGTAAAAAAAAAAAAAAAGGAATGAAAGATGACATTTTGCACAGACAACAGGACACACACTCAGACACCCACACCTGCATCGCTGCTTGCACGTCTTCCTCACAACCATGCCAAATCAAGTCTAATGTGCCAACTGAGGACGCGGAACTACCGACGATACAGCTCGTCTGCCGAGATGTCTCCCTTTTGGATCGGCCGATCTTCTGCAGCGGATGGATTTTCGGCGGCGTTCACGCGAAAGCAACGGCACTGGATTCCACCCAATCATGCGTGACGACCATCCTCTATAACTTCCTTTCGCCTAATTCGACCTGCTGCTATCACATTCGTGTAAACGTAGCCCGTGCTCGACCCAGGCACCGTGCCAAGGAGACAGGGGCCGCAGTGGCCCGCTTCGTTGCCGCATGCCTTCAGCCCAATGCCCTTCCAAGACTAGCTTCTTGTCGACAGGAGGAGTTCCGGCAACTTGTGGTGAGGCATCTCTCTTGTGCCCGGGCCCTCAGCCTGGCTGTGTTCTGGCTGGCGGTGGAGTTGTCTGCCACTTGGAGACAAACGCCTCGATGTCCTCCATACTGATGCCTGCACAGACGGTCAGAGAAACAATTTGTGACTGAACAAAAGAATGCGGTAAACGAAACCTCGCAATGCGGTTTCACTTATGCGGATAGTCTGTTAACGAAAGAAGGTAAATTTGGCCTAAAGAACAACTCGTGTTGTTCCTCGTTGTCTCATTATGCTCTATTAGATGCAAGTTTTTAACATACAAGAGTTCCATTATGTCTAAAAAAAAATTCAGAACCATTTTTTTTTTCTTTTAGGGGTGCCGTTTTTTAAAAATATTCAGGGAGATTAATTAAATTTTAGATCTCTGGGCAATTTAATTAGTCCAGCCAAGATATTTTGAATTTAGGAGTATGTTGCTCAATATATTTAGGGTTTTTCGTTTTCGGATAAAACCCGATATTACCCGATGTTTGCACCAGAAAACATTCCTATGAAAATTGGGTTAAACCCAATTTCTCCCCGAATACCGGTCTTAAAATTAGCTGAATTGATGAAAAATAAGAACAATTCTGGGTTTGTTTCAGAACTGCTTCGTTCATAAAGCGCAAAACATAGCCCACACATTAGTATCATCTGTTTTTGTCATTTATATGTAACATCTATGTTACCACTTTTTCTCATCGCGATTTTAACATTTACACGAGCATGCATGGTGAATACATTGAGGATAACATTTCGCATTTGTGTTATTTTTTTACATATGCTCAGTGTAAGCAGAGTTTTTACCACAGCCCTCTTTCAGCCATTCAAGGTTTCCGACTGACCGCACTATCGTAAAATACCGAGGAAGTGCCCACTAAAAATGTGAAGACAACCACAAAAAAAATAGGGGATGGGCACATGTGAGGTCATCAATTTTACATATAAATGTACCATGCATATTTTTTCATATGTTTCAAATTTTGGGGCTGGGCGCTTAGTGTGTGCGGAATGGGTGGATGCAGGGTATTCTACGGTAAGATTTGCTAAAAAGCAGTTCAGAGAAAAAGCTAGTAAATCATGCACATTTCAGAACAGATGCCGTGTAAACAGGAAATAAAGTTTCTTGCAGCTATTTACAGTAAAGGACCTGTCAATTCTCCCATAAATTCATTTAATTTGAAAAGACTGTCAGCATACGTTGTGTGGAGTTACATACAACCCAAGAGTCTTAATTGCAGACTATTGATATGTGGCTATCTAATGTAACTAGGGTTAGTCATTTCTTACTTTCATTCTTTACACCAGTGGTTCTCAAATGGGGGTTTGCGAAGGCACTCTAGGGGTCCGCAAAGCCCTGCCTTATCAGTCAAGCCGGGCAATAAAAGTTTTCTTTTTTTGGTCGAGAAATAATGTTTTAGCTTTTGGGGTGAGCTTTCTCATGTGTATGTCAATAGGGGGTCCATATCACAAGAGCGAATGACATTTTAGCGAACGGCGACATTTGAGCGAATGGTCGTTGTAGCGAATAACGGGGCGCGCGTTAACCCATCCGTCGCGCTGCGCTTTACGCCGCGGCGACAGTCTGCGGCAACTCATTAAAAAAATATGAACTCAATTGGCCCACCCGAAAACGCCGCTTCGCGGCGTCCGACTATTCGCTAAAGTGTCGTTCGATGAAACGTGGGCGTTCGCTAAAACGTCATTCGATCAAGTGAGTGCCTCCCGTCAATAGGAGAGGTGTACTTCAGTCTAGCCCTTAGTTGTACGCATTTAATATATCCTTATTATATTTAACCTATACCTTTCCCCTCCCTTCAACACAAACGGGGTCCTCCATCATCTCAGCCGATCCACAAGGGGTCCTCAAAACATTGATGGTTGAGAACCACAGCTTTACACCATCTCAGGGGTAAAAATCAAGTTTTACTTTTCAAACGAAAAATTATGGAAATATTTATATTTTTTAGTGTCAATTGAAGGATTTGAGAGTTTTCTGGCTGCATATCTTGCTTAAGGTAAATGAGAACTTGTACTTAAAGTAAGCAACGAAATTCTAGCGCCTATTTCAGGGATGGCCAAACAGCGGCTCTTTGCTGGTCCAAGTGCGGCTCGCGAATGCCTCGTAAGGAACCCCCCTCCCTTCGCTCTTTTTCGCGTTTCCCCAGGAAAGGAGGTGAGGGTTTCGAAATAAAGTACAGCTTAGAGCTTTGGCCAACCTTGTGCCCCCATACGTACAGTCGAACCGATTTTCATTCATATGTTTCCACTGACCCTGTTCCAATTATTGTTTGATGGAGTTTGCCGAACCCTGGGGGAAAGGCATCAAGGACAGAAACGGAACTGTCAAACCTTGCATGTACTTTGGCTTGGGGTCGAGGAAATGTTCTGTCTTGCGGCCTTTTTCACTAGCCGGTGATACTTGTCCTCGGCTTTGAACAAACGTTTGCCGCCCCCCCCCCCCCCCCCTTCTCCCCCCGCGGCTCTTGAAATTTCGTTGTTTTGTTTGCGGCTCTTAGGCCGGGGCAGCCTGGCCACCATTGGCCTATTTTATTGTCTTAATGCAAAACCACGTTCTGGCCACACCACGGAGACACCAATTTTTTGCTTGAAAAGGCAGCAAAATATTATTTAAAAGGAATAAACCAAAGGTCGTTACGTCATTTGACCTTAAAGCAGCGCCGTTCTGCGGAATGACGGCGGCAAGCTGCGTAGCGTGTGCACGAGTCCTGCCAAACTCTATTTCTCTTCTTTCCAGGCCTACTGAACTCCTGCGGGGAGTGGAGCGGGGAAACTAAAACGGCCAGGTTGCAACATGCTGTTGACACCAAGTGGCAGAGCTCGTAACCACGCCAACCCCCAAACAGCTTTGCCCGTCCTGGCCCGGTTTTTCACCGTCTTCCGGGATGCGTCGCGTTCTCCGATGGCTGATCTTCGAGCCCTCGCTGGAATTGGTCCTTCGGAGCAAAAAATATAGCCACCCGTTCAAAATACAAGCGTGCGACTGGCATTAGCAGATAAAGTTGATCATGTTTAACGAATGTGAGAGGTATTTTTTAAGTTTAGATTCAGTATCCCTATAACACATCTACACAACCAAGAATTACCATTTTGTGATTTTGGACGGTGTTTACAACCAAAATGAAGTGGTTCATTCCAAAATCATTTCTGCAATGATACTACCCAGGCACGTAGCTAAGATTTTGATTTGGGAAGGGGGGGCTGCCCATGACAAAGTGTTGTATGAGGGGGAGATGAGGCCCCAGCAAAATGGAAGATTTCGGGGGAGGGGGAGGCCCCATGCCCCCCCCCCGGGCTACGTGCCTGATACTACGGCACATCCGTTTCAATGTCTCCATAGTTTTCAGCACGAGGAGCCAGGGAGCGTGCCAGCTTTTCATATGCAGAGAGAAATCGGGTTTACCCTATCTGGAGACAAGGAGAAACAAGGTGCAGAATTGCACCTTGTTTGGGGTACAATTCTGGGTAAACTTGGGCTTCGCCCCAAAACAGAATATAACCCTAAATGTATGTATCCAAGCTGCAGAACCAAGGCATAATATATGCTCTTGTGCAGTCTGGAACACTCTGGCATAGTCAGGAGTACTCTGGCGTCGTCTGGAGCACTCTAGCGTAGTCTGAGCACTCTGGTGTAGTCAGAGGGCTCTGGTATACTGTAGAGCAGGGATCGGCAACCTTATGCAGCGGCGGGCCAAGTTGTCATGAAGCCAACATGTAGGGGGTCGGACGGCAAGTCGTCAAAGGAGGGGGGGGAAGAAATGGCGAAAAGGAAGTGAAGATGCCCTCTGCCCATATGTACGGGGATGCTGGACAATGCCAATTGTCCAGTCGAAACTTATGTGCAATCCTTGAGGCTGTGTGAGGAAGCAGCAAGGGTGGCCAGTACTCAGGAAGCAGAAAGACTGCACCAGTAGTGTGGTGCAGTCTAGGATACTCTGGTGCACTAAAGCAGTCCACAGGCATGCAGTGCACGAAGACCCAGAGCAAGCACCCAACCCCTTTTCACTCACCGGCTGAACGTGCCAGAGCGGCCGCATTGTGGGGCAGACCGTGCTCTCCGTGGGTCAGCAGGGTCACCATGACCCTGCCCGGCGGGTGCTGGCCCCCTCCCCTGGGACACTGCTTCTCCAGGTGGTGGCAGCACTCCAGGATCTGGAACAGCTCCCTGCAACGTTTGGGAAACGGTTGCGGAGGGCTGCTTGGAACACTCGCTAATGTCAGCAGCTACATTAGCCTTCAAGCGGGAAAAATTAATGAGACACCGTCAATGACGAGGATAACCTTCCAGACACCAGTCAGCCATGCCTGTGAAAACTGATAAAGGTAAGGTAAAAATAAAACAACAAAATGAGTAGGGCTAAATATTCCAAAAGTGTCGTCGGGAGAACAAAATATTAAACACGAGTCTTCTCGTTGCCCCTGCAACCTTACAAATAAAAACAACCAAAACGCTTCTCTTAAGCAGGATCGATACAAATTAATATGACCATTATTTCCACACAGAACACAAATACCTTAAAATGCTGCAAGAGTGCCCATTCCACTTTTACTGAAGACTGGGTTAATCTAGACATGGGTCCAGAAAAACTGGTTGCTTAAAGGGGTACTCCAGCTGTTTTTTGAGCTACCCAAACAAATTGCATTTTCTGACTACCCGGCCTTTAGTCTTCACGGTACGCTATTTATTTTCCCGAAATTCAAAATAGCAATTGAGAAAACCGTAAATGAAGATGATGCCGAAACAAGCCTTCGAATTTTCGCGCGCTCTCCAGTGGTGTGACGTCACAAATGGTACATACTTTCAGGTCGTGCAGGTAGTCTTAAACAGAGTATGTCGAGTGTTTTTTGCATGCTTCTCAGTGAATCGGCTACCAAGCATTCTTTTCCCAACATCGAACGTCTTGTAATCAGTTGGGAACATAGCTTACTGCCCACTTTGTACCATTTCTGTCGTCACGCTTCAAGGTTGCCACTAGGGGCTCCCAGTTTGAGAAATGCGATGAAAACGAAATTAGAAAATTCAATAACTCCGCGAAATGTTTGCCTTTTCACACAATACTTGGGGAACTGGTACAGCCGTGTCTATCGGTGTTGAGCCAATTGTGAGGCAAATCAGCGACCACGAAAAAATTGCCGGAGTACCTCTTTAACATACAATTTGCAGAATTCCCAAGCCTTGGAAATGTTTACAGTGGGCGCTTCAACGAAATGGGTGCTTCCGCGGTATTTTACTGTAATGAAATCGTGGCAGATTCGGTTGGCGTATTGGTTGTGGCTGACAGGTAAGCTTTTACTTTTTTCAAGCAGATTATTTTATCGCTGCTTTTTCGAAATGGCTCGGACTTCTACACACATTGACTGTTTTTCTAATTATTTTATGCCAAAATACTCTGATGTCTTGCGAGATATTCTTACAGCTTGCTGCAATACCACCGTGGCAGTTGCTTAGTATAAAACGTTTACCTGGTTGCCACATTACTAGATACATTCAAAAAGGCACCTTACAAGCAAAGGGGACATTGTCTGAAACACAAGCACAAGCACCTGGTCCTCTGGTGATACTCACCAGGCTTCTTTGTCCTTGCGCTTAGGGTACTTCATCGGGGACAGGGAAAGGCGCTCGTGGCTCTTCTGCGAGCGCACATATCTGCAAATGCCAGGCCAAAAAACAAAGTCAAAACCAACTTTTCCAAGTGCCAGATCATGAACAATAGTGTCCAACATCCTACTCACAATTGTCTCTAATGAGAATCGTAGCCATGCACGACAAACAGTACTCTCTATTGGCATATGAAGCAAACACTTGTATGTGTCCAGTGTACAGTACCCAAAAGCCCCCTTGGAACAATGACAAAATAGACAAATACAAAGCAAAGAGAAAAGGAAGACAGTGTCGTTAAAGGGAAGATGGGGCACTTCTACATTTGAGAAAAAACGCTTGAATTGCGTTCATTTGGCCTTTAGAATAACAGATATCACAATTATATTTCAATGCGACGCGCCGGAAAGCCATAAGAGCGATTTGAAAATAGGGCTGAAGCCCCGCCTCCCTAGCCTTGACAAGCCAAAAGATCCGTCGATGACGTCACGGACAGCGACTGTCTTTCGCGTTTTTCACGCGTTTAACAATACTTGCGCGGCAAACGGTTTGGGTATTCGGGTTCACCAGGTAAAAATACACTAGAATTCACTTCTAACTCATTTTTTTTCAAGAAGCTCCGTAGCTTCCCTTTAAACTTAGAGTTCAAGGACCTGCACAAATCCTGCTTTAACTTTGGCTCCGCCCAACAAATGCATCTAAAGCGTAATTAAATAAATACACTTTCATTTTTCCTTTTTCTTTGCATACTGACAGGCTTTGCCGAACAAGCAAGTCTCTCAATCCTGCAAGGTCACTTCTTTTGTATGGCTAACGAGAAGGGAGTTTGCCAAGTCCATGGTTTGCAGTGAGTACCGAAAACCACGCACCTGCTCCCTCTGCGGAGCTCTCCCTCCAGCCAGCGGATGGATTCGCGGGCACCCACGCTTTCCCGCTTGAGCAAGTCCAGACTCGAGATCACTGCGAAGGAGAGAAAAAGGCCGATGTGCAAGGCACTGCCACACCAAACCGCCGGCAGACAACAACACTACGCCACTGGCATGCTTCGTCCACCGGGTGTAATGAATGTCTTGTGCAGTCACAAATAAATGTCCATACCCATTATTTTTGTAACTCCGTGATTTGGCGCGTAGTCACGAGAACAATGGGCGACAAAGCGTAGAAATGTGAAAATAGGAGTGGTTGCTTTAAGCGTGGTTCGCACATTTGCATTACAATTTGATCGACCACGTTACAGCTTACGACGAGAGAAGACGCCGGCGCCACCTATTGGGTTTGCCTTAGGATTGCTTCCGGTCTGCGCATAACTAGACCGAAGGTGTTGCGGCATTTGCAAGATCAAGTCTACGCACTATATACGAAAAACAATCGCTTACAACTTCGGCAAAATTCTTCCGAGCCCAGGGTAAAAGAACGGTACATAAAACAAATGCAGATCGGGACTGCTCCGAGGCTATCCAAGAGACAATGCCGGCGCACCTTTTCGTTGTAGGTGGTCACAAGTGCTTGTGACGCGATCGATCAGCCTCTAATGCAACCATGCAAACCAGCCCTAATTCGTGGCCACATGTGCCGAAACTTTTCGCCACCCACAAGCCTTTAAAAAATAAAGCCGCGAAACTAGGCCGGAGAAAACTCAACAGAAAACCGATCGAAACCCGGCTTTGCTCGGATGCGACAGCGCGGGCGGTCTCACCGTGGGAGGGCACGACGAGCACGAAGCGCCTGGTGGCCACCAGCCGCCTGACGTGTGCCAGCTGGGAGCAGAGCACCCTGGTGTGGGGCACCAGGAACGGGGGCGCCAGGGCCCCCACCTGGCCCTCCAGGTCCCGCACCTCTTGCTCCAGCCACAGGTGGGCCATGCTGCGCATCACTCGCTTGCGCTCGCTCTCCTCGGGGCTCTCGCTCCGGCCCTGCGCACGCCGGCCGACATCAGCCTCCAGACGGAACACCCTACGCGGACGTGGGGCTCTTGGGGCCTGCTCACACATACGATGCGGTGCCAACTCGGTGCCGTAAGGCCTGCTTGCACATATACCACAATGCTTCTGCCCGGCACGTAGCCAGGATTTTGTTTCGGGGGGGTGGGGGGCTCAGGCCACATGGGCCCCCCCTGGCTACATGCCCGGCTTCTGCGCTGTGCTGATTTTGCACTATATTAATGAAACAGTGCTGATATAGCGCTGCATCGGTGCTAAGTAACGTTAGAGTCAGTGTTGCATCAGCACTGTTCCCAGTGTTGATTTAGCGCAGGGACGTATGTGGGAACCGACCTGTGGTAACGTCTCTTACAGTGCACCATATTATCGCTCTATTGGCAATGTGCTTGCCTCATAAGTCATTCTTCTCGTTTACGAGCACCATGCAGTGCTAATCAGCACTGACACCACATACCACCGATGCATCCGACTTTGCACGACCTCAGCACTTCCCTGCATGTGTGAACTGGCCTTAAAAACAAATACCTCCGACTTGCATAACAATATCAACATTTATCAGACGTTTCGTCTCCTATATGGGAGACATCATCAGTGTGGCCTGGGAACACCCGACTAGCTACCAGAAATCCAACGCTTCTTCTTCCTTCTCTTCATCCGTAGTGCTGGTTCTGCCGACTTCTTCGTCCATGGCATACGGGAGACATTATCATCGTCTGCCCTCGCTTCAACTTCTTTTTACATCCGTCCTGGATGGTAAGTTAAATGACAAGTTATTTCAGGATGTCGGTGTATACATTGTTTTTAATCATGAATCCCGGCTTTTGGAACATTTTTGCGTGAACTGGCCTATACAGAATTTGTGACAGATGTATAAGGGCTTTCCACAGTTTCCAATGAAACTTCCGCAAGAAGCCAGAGACCGTTACACCCATCGCTGCAAGAGCTACGTACCCATTCAGCCTTGGTCAATCGTCTTAATAGATGCTCGAACCGAATGAAAATTACGGCAAATTGAAACGCATAGCCAAGTTGCAACTTTTAGACAAGTAGTGGCTCCAGCCAAATCGAGACCGTGCCGTTTCCAACTCTAGCTCTTTCGTAAATACTTCGTAAATACAATGACAAAAAAAAAAAAAAGTGTATTTAAATGAGGTAGTGAAAATTCCAGGGTTAGGAGCCTAGTGTAATGGAACACCTCATGGCTCTGTGCATGTAGCTTAAAAAAAAAAAAAAAACATACAATGGGTTTTAGCAGTATAGTTCTCATATTTTATTTCTGGCATGTTCTAGCCCCTTTAAAGACGGACTAAGTTCTTAACTTCTAAATAGTTCATTGTAAAGTTATTTTGTTCTATGAGTTTTGTAGGAAAAGCAAGCATGCAAACCTGAAACAGGTCCATCATGCATAGTGTTGCATGTGTAAAACATGTGCGCTCTTCAAAAAAAAAAAAAAAATAATGGCGCAAAAAACAAATTTTAAGAACACTTAAGCACTTATTGTGAGTTGTGAATGGGAAAGCATGAATGTCCTTCCTCCGCTCCCTTAGTTCGTCTGCGGTGTAATGGCGTGCGTGGAGGGCCACGTTTCGCTATTGTCAAGGTTGAAACCGGGAGCCGAGCGCGCACTCCCCCTCCTCCTCCTCTCCCCCCTCCCCCAGGAAAGGGGAAGACAGTGCTCCATGTGTCTTCGGTTCTCGTCTCTAAAACACACGGTTTTTCGCTACAGCTCTCGTGTGGACGAACCATGTTGTCTCTCAAGAACCACGACATCCCCAACTTTCTTGGACGTCAATGCCTCGACGCATGCACTAAGATGTGAATTTCAACTGAACAACAACAAACATCACAATGTTCCCCGGGAGTAGTTTAGATGACAGTCATCAAATATCAATAAGCGGTACTTAAACTTTTGGACGCGTATAGTTTCCGTTCCACGGCCCCGCAAATTTTTTCGGCATTGAATCCTATGGGCTACACTCACAAAATTGTCAATTTCCGCTTTTCTTGAAAAAGATCATAATGTTCCCGAGGAATGTAATTGCCCGGGTATCATAGAATGCGTATCAATTATGATTTTGATATTTTCTTTGAGAACTTTTTATTCCACGGATTGTCCCAGAAAGCTGGTCATGATTAAACAAGAATATTCGTTAGACACACATTCGCTACAGAGGAGACCATCACATTTAAACCGTGTGAATGAACCGGGCCTTTGTTAAACGGGTGCATTTCGTATAAAATGTTCGTTTAACGCAGTCCTTGTAGCATTCTACAATCCGCGAAAATAGCGAATGATGAAAAATATATTCTTCTAAGGTTCCTAGGAACCAGGTGTTCCACCGAAAGCACGCGCGTGAAGGTTACATACCAGGACTAAGCAGAGACGGAAACACCAAGTCTTAGTTCCGAATACCACGTAATGAATTTGTGTTTCAGGAAGCTTGAAGGCAGTTAGCAAGAATTTATTAAAACTGTAACCATTCAGACAGTCACGTTGGCGCTCGGATAAAGTAGGCTTCTTCTAGCCACCGAGCGGAATGATAAACAAAACCGCCGTTGGTAGGACGCACATTCCAACCAAACCCCACAAAAAGGAAAAAAAAAACGAATTCCACAAGCACGAAAAAAAAAAAAAAAAAAGAAAGAAAGAAAAGAGAGCTTACGTTGTCGAAATTGCTCTGCTAGGGGGACGAAAACAGGAAAATCCCCTAAACCCCGTGGACTGGCTTAGGGGACACGGGGAAGTTTCGTCTGGCGTCTTTCTCCCCCGCCCGGAGTCTCTTCTCTACGCTTCAAAGGACTCCTTCCCTTCACAGGGGAAGAATGATCCCCTGGCCGCATTAGCCACCCAGGTGCTCGGACACGCACCTGCCCGCTCCTCCCAACCGAGGGGTGCCCGCGGCCGGGTAACCCTAGTCCTCCTCCTCCTCCCCCCCCTTCCCCCAAAACTTCCCGAGACTGCTGCTACTTTCCGAGCAAAACTAGGAGCCGACGGTTTGTGAGGCCCCAGGGGGAGACGACGGGTGAGCTTCGAACGGCGGGGCCGACTCACAAAATTTCTCTCGTCAAGAGGGGAGAAAGCATCCACTTTCCGGGGTTCCCTCCCGTACGGGGAAAATCCGATAAAGGTGGGGGTCGCGGGGACGGTGAAAGAGGGGAAAGGAAACGACACCGATGAGACAAAGGAGAGGATAGTAGGACGAGAGAAGCGCCCACGCTGAGAAAGGAAAGGGGGGCAACGTGGACAGAAATTGTTATAATAGGGAGAGAAAAGCGGAATAAGAAAAAAAAAAAAACCGGGGAAAAGCGGGAAGCTGGGGGTTCGGGAAGCCTACAAACAAAGCGCAGTGAAGGGAGTGGGGAGAGTCACAAAGCACAGCGAAATAAGACAGAGCCCTGCCCGTTGCAAATAAATACGGGGAGTTGGGGGATGGGGACAGAGCCGACAAGCACAGCGGCGGCAACAGCACAATCCTCGCAGTGTTCCCGCAGGAGGGGGGACGGAAAGAGATAAAAACGAAAAGCAAGAGGCGACAGTTCTCCCTCACTCTTCCTTCGTCGACCAGACAAGCGCACGCTACTACACGAGCAGAGTACTGAGAAAGAGGCGGGAAACAACGAGGCCCTCTGGCGAGCACACGCGGCACAATGGCCGCCTGCCACGGAAAGAGGGAGGGGGGGAGGAAGGGCGGCAGATAAGGCGGCGGCCTGCAAAGCAAGCACGCCAGCAGCGGCAACTAAAGCGACGCAGGGGGACACACAAAAGCGAAGCGAGGCAAAGTAAAGCAAGCGGCACGGTGCGACACGCAACAACGAACGACGACGGCGGCGGGCGGGATTGCCTCCCCGCCGCCGACCCGGTTCGCCACCTCCCCGCGGGAGGCGCCCCACGTGGTGCGGTCACGTGACCTCAACCGTGGGTCGCCCGCCTCCTCGTAGCAGACGACGACGACAGATCGGCGCGATGCGGGAAGAAGAAAAACGGAGGAAAGAGGAGGCAGAGAGAATGTCGGAGGACGGAGTAAGAAGAGCCAACAACTCCAACAACCGACCGACCGCGCACTAAAAGACCGGGCGGGGGACGTCAAAAAAGAAGCCCCCTACTCTGGCACACACGGGGCGGGGGGGAAGAGGGCTCAAATAAAAGCTCGGAGGGAGGGCAACGAATGACCGCGGCGGTGTGTGTCGGTGCGTGTTGCCGGAGTCGACGATGGGAACGGGGAAAGAAGGGCAGCAAAGCAGCAGACGCTCCTCGGTTTACGACGGGAGGGGGCAGCCTTTTCTATGGACTCCCCTACTTTGCAGCCAGAATGGCCCACGGGCCCCAAGGGGGCTCGGTTTGGTCGCGACACCCGTGTCCCCCATCCCGGGCTCTTCAACTGCCGTTGTTGCTGCCGGCCAGCGGCGGTGGTAGGGGGCCGGGTCGACCGAGGCCCTTGGCCGCGTCTCAATTTCACTGGAATGGCACCGACACGCAGACAGCTTGCAAGCATTCTCGGTAGCGCGAGCAAAAAAACCGGTCTTTGGGCGCCTGCCTTCTGACAGGCAGTGCGCTGGATGATGCAGTCGTTTCTGTCACCGAAGGCTTTCGCAAAAGAGGACTGGAGCGGAGTGGAGATGTACCGAAGGTAAAGATAACCTCCGGCTTGGGGGCTGATCACTCGTTGGCGGCAGCAATAAATGGCCGAAAAAAGGACAAAACCAATCAACCGTCCCACCAAATTCGGTTCTCCAAACAAGGCTACCAAAACAAATCCTCCCCCCCCCCCAAAAAAAAAAAAAAAAAAGATAAAGACGTGTTGCTAACGTGTATCAGAATTCAGGCGATAAGGCTGCTTAGCTCACAACGAGTTCGTCGGCGTTCCAATTATTTTATTAATTTCTTCCGTTGCAGTGTTTTCCGCTACTATCAAGCAAGAAAGCAACGCCCTACATCGGACAACAAAAATTAAAATTAAAGGATAGCTGGAGGAAACCCCCTCAAAGTTATGCAGCACAGCGACGGACACGTGGCGCCATCTCTGAGTGACGGAAACAAACATACAATTACGACGGTGGCGACACACCACGGTTGACGCGTACACTGTCGAGTCACGAGTTCTCCCAAACAAACATGGCCGAAGCGGGAGGTCCGTCAGCCGGCGACGACGAAACATGCCTCGAAGAGGCTCTCGATGTGGCCCTCGAGAGCTCGGTCGACGCCATCGAGACGACGCTTCAGCTTCGCGAGCACCTCAACGAACTCCTCGAGGCCGGGCTCATCGAACTCGCGAGGGCGCGCTTCGCGATGGGCAACCGCGGCGCCGTCTCCGCACTCCAGCTGCACTTGGGGGACATGAAAGCTAGCCGCACCGTCCTCAGCCAAGTAGACGAGCGCGATCGTCAGCCGTACTTCAAATTGCTCGTAAGCGCGGACGACGAAGCAGCACCCGCGAACGACAAAACCGACACGGCTCGCCGGAGGCATGGTGGTGACGGCGACGATCAAGCCTTTCTCGACGAAGTTTCCGATAAAGGTTCAGACGAAGAGGAGTCTACCGCGACGGCTGCTGGTCCGTCGCCGAGCGGAGACCCGCTGAAGTGGTTCGGCGTCCTGGTGCCGGCGTCGCTGCGTCGTTCGCAAAAGTGCTTCGCCCAGGCGCTTGAAGTGCTCACCGACGTGGCCAACGAACAGGTCAAACTGAGCTCGGCCCTCGACCGATACGAGAAACTGCGCGCTTCGGGTACTCGACCCTAAGCCGTGAACCACGTCAACCGTCTATGCTGCTGGAAGGCGTACACAGATTTAATGCCGACAGTCGTGAACGCATCTAGCTCGAAGAGCTCCAAGCAAAGCTGCCACTGCCAAGGCACTCGTTTCGGTGTGGTGCAGTAATGTGTACAGGAAGCTTGGCACGTCGGGAGACACGCCGGTCGTGCCACCGCTGCCAATGCGTACACAGAGAATAAAATCCAGTTCGTTTGTTGCACGTGTCTCGCCATTGTATATGCTCCCACTAGCCGAGGCTGCACAGACATGCTCCCCTACAAAACACAAACAAAATCCATGGACTGAACCGCGGGTTCTCGAGCACCTCTATATTGACCTTGAAAAGATGCTTTAGCAATGAATCTGATTAGCCAAAATATCCACGAGTCCCTTTGTTCAGTTACATCCTCAATCACTCAGAGTGAATTAAAACTGACAGTGCCATAAGTGGCCATGTCGAGAAGGCTTCGCAAATGCTGCCGAACCCGCCATCTAGTTCAGAACCGGAAGTAGTTGGGGGCTTTTTGCACACTGGCACCACCACATTTCAACACGTGCGAGAAAGAGCAAATACTGGAATATGGCTCTAACACTTCAATCCCACTTTGAACAGTCCGCAATAATTGCCTTCTCCACGTATCACACTTGGATTTTCTACAGAGGTGTGGCTCATAAGGTTAAAATATCAACGCATAAACTTACCTCGTTCAAGAAAGAAAAAAGGAGAACCTGTTTCGGCCAATCTACGGCGTCATTTCCCGGGAGACGCAGACGGTGCTCGTTGACTTGGAGATGCTGCCAACAGATGGTGTATGCATAGACATACTTTCGCTAGATCGTCTGCTATCAAAACCTGAACCGGCGTGCCCTGCGCACCTTCGATGCATACATCATCTGTCAGCAGCGTCTCCAAGTCAACAAGCACATTCTGCGTCACCTGGGAAATGGCACTGTAGACTGTCTGAAACAGGTTCTTCTTTTTTCTTTCTTGAACGAGATAAGTTTATCTGTTGACATTTTAACTCTATGCGTACACCACCTAGCTATAGTTAATCTTAGTGCAATACATTAAGATACTGATTTTTGTGGACCGCCCAGAGTAGGATCGGAGCGTTAGTGTACATGCTGTGGAATAAAAACAATGTTCCAGTACAAACATCATGGGCATACTTGCCACAATGTTAGGACTGGAACTTAGAAGACTGGTAGCCTCCTAAGTTTGTCCACCGCAATTGCAAAAGCATCGCATTTCAATGAGGACTCCAGTAATGCCTCATGCATTCGTTGGTATTTCGCCCATGATGGTAGTTGTTGCCCATTTTGAGAGCATTTTCCGAAACGCACACTCCCAGTCAGGGGGGCGGGCCATTGTGGTACTGGAGCTCTTTCTCTCTCTCTCCCCCCCCCCCCCTCTCTCTCTCTCTCTCTCTCCCCCCCCTTCTTAAATACAGCTGTGTTTTTGTAAAAATCTGAAAAACACTCGCCGGTAAATTTTCTGTTAAAGGCCGACCACCAGACTCGAGATTCTGCAAGGCAGAAGATCCTCCTCTCCATGGGGGAGGAGAAAACATGCAACGGTGGACAGGGTAGAAGGAGGGAGAGGAGGAAGCGGGGGAAAAGTGGAGAGCACGAACTGGTCGTCGGTCTTTAATTTGGATTTATCCGAAAAAGAATAAATTTCAAAGAGACAATAATAAAAAAAAGCACGGGGGCAGCGTGGTCCTGAGGAGATGCCACTTCAGTTTCTTTTGAAATCTCAAACAACTGACAACGAGAGTTTGCTTTTTAGCAATAACGTAACAAACCTCCCCCTTTAATAAAAACAAAAAACAATCTTGGTTACATTATTGCGCTTAGCAGCAGTTTGTACTCGACAAGAAAACCCACGAGAAAACACTCGGCATGAACCTCAGTATACCCACAGTCATCTCGGAGAAAGTTCTCAACATCTACCTGCTCTTCTATGGCACGAAAGCAGTATGGGTGCTTCTGAGAAGCGATGTGGACCCGATGCCAGCCTTGTTGCGAGATACGCTGACATCACGGGTGAAAGTCATACGAAGCCGGTCATGACACAGACACACGCTTGCTGACATTAGCAATGCTGCTGTAATGGTTACATTATGTGCAGGGACCCTTCAGATAAAATGTTGCCAGACAATGCCGCGGTCATATTTTCAAGAGGTGAGGTCACATCCATACAATTGGAAAAGACAAGCGTAATTTGGAAGGTCTCTGGACAATTTGAAAAACTTTGCAAGTATTCATGGGCACATTTCTTTTGAATGCTTTAAAAAATAAATTTTACAATGCAAATTTTTATTTACCAAAAAAAAAAAAAAAAAGTGAGAGCACTATGGTTGAATGGCCATGCACATCCCCAACAATGTTACCAGGGTTGTCTTTTTTGGATTGACGGAAACGCCAAGGTTGCTTCGAGAATCACGGTTAACAGTCGCCGGTATTCGCAACGAGCTTCAAAGCAAGACGTTTACAGGGTCAGACTCTCAAGTGTGGGAACCCTCCCTTCACACAGTTAGCGAAGGCAATGTTCAGTCAAGGGGGCCACTCCGTCTTATCCGTCTAGCAGATTGCTTAAAGCGGTACTATAATACGTGCAACGCGTCCCCGCCTCATGTGTGGTTCCTCTATTTCTGCCCAATGACGTCACCAAAGTGTCGTGCTGTTGCCTGCAGCAATCCTGACGGTGGCACGGCAGAGGAGGTGGACACAGCTGATGCCCGTTTTGTCGCCTGCTGCTCTACAGCTTGACAGTCCAGTAAATCTTCAACAGCCAGGGCTTGGGACTAGTGATGCAAAACTATAAAAAATTTGACTGTCGAGACTTTTTCCCAATCTATCGAGCGTCGAAAACTATTGATAGTTGACTATCATCGATAGTATTATCAATAGTTGACTTTCGGTAGTACTAGCGATAGTGCAACCAATAGTAATATCGATAGTTGGCTTTTAGTCGACAGTCAATACCATCGAAAGTCAGCTTTCAGAAAACTATTGAGTGTTGGGAAAATTGGAGTATAGGGTGTTTGTAAGAAATCCGAATTCGGCTTTTTGCACCGCAAAAATAAACTACCGTAGAATACCGTGCATCCGCCCATTCCACATTAAGCGCCTATTCACAAATCTGCAAGATCTGAGAAAATATGCACAGTACATTGATATGTAATAATTGATGACCGGACAAGCGCTCATCCGCCATTTTTTTGCGATTATCTCCAAAGTTTGAGTGGGCACTTGCCCAGTATTTTATGGTAGACATTGCGGAGAGCTCAAACTTCGTCAAAATGTAGCCCCAGCCGTTTGAGCAAGGTGCCAAAGTTTCAGCACCAACCGTTATCTTACTCAAAAGTTATAAGCAATTTTCTGAAAATTTCAATGAAAAAATAAGGCCCAGTGTTGCCCGTTTTCGGTTTCTGGCGCAATAGAGCTCCATGCATTCGAGAAATCCGTCGGCCGCCATTTTTCTATTGAAATTTTCAGAAAATCGCTTATAGCTTTTGAATAAGATAAAGGCTGGTGCTGAAACTTTGGCATCTTACTCGAACTGACGGAGTTTGAGCTCTCCCGCAATGTCTAGTTGATTTCTGCGGTGCAAAAAGCCAGGCTCAGATTTCTCACAAACTCCCGGTACTACCCAAAAAGGGAATGACGACGAATATGTACGGGCAGACAACGCATGGTTCTGGGAGAAACATGAAATTGAAAGGAAACAAAACATAAGAGTTGCTTTCTTGTACAATTAATATAGAGGTAAAACAGAAACGGCAGTTGGCTAGTTTTCTTATACACCTATTTTGTATATTCATGGGGCTCAGATATCAGGCTTCACACTTTAGTATGCCCTCATCTGTTAAACTATTCAATATGTTCAGTACTCTTTTGTTTGTCTGGGAACTAGGCAAAACACTCGCTAAAGACATTTAGCGTCAGGGTTTTTACAAGTTGATTAAAAGGTTAAAAGGCGCGAACAAACAGGACGGAAAAAGAGACACGTATGACACGGACAGGCGCCTGTCCGTGTCGTACGTGTCTCTTTTCCCGTCTTGTTTGTTTGCGCCTTTTAACCTTTTAGTCAATATAACCAACTAGCCCCAACCAAAGTTTTTACAAGTTTGTTTCACGCTCGTGTTTCCTTTATTATTCAATTGACACATATTCCTTTTCATAGAGCCATGACCACTGACAGGTGAAAATAAGCACTCTGCTGGAGATCATACTTTTTTTTTTCTTTCTCCTAATGGCCATTTATAGCAAAGTCCCGAAAATCAAAATTAGCTATCAAAATTAGCTGTTTACGAAATCACTTAGGCTTGTATGCCATGATATGTTGCCACTTTTATGTTCTGTGCTATTTGGGCAGAGTGTAATACCGGTGGCTGGGGCAACATTTACCTGTTGGTATAAAATACAACTTGAAAATACAGAAGCCATCAGATAATCTATAAATAAATATATTTGAATCAATAAATATATAACAGAGATTTTGTTGTGCAGCCTTCAAACTGAATATCACCAGACAAAAAGCTTATACCGCGAAAAAATAGCTACTGAGGCCTTTAGTTTTTCCATTCTTCAAGCACAATAAGTTTGGGAACATAACGTTAAGTGGATAAAAAATAAATGATAAATACAAAAATTTCTTGTGGTGCAAGTAACAATATTGTTTGCAATGAGGCATTATTTCAGTGAAAAAGGCTTGTGAATCCGAAAAGCAATATTGCTTCCCTTCTTTCTCGCAATCTGTTTGTTTCGAAAGAATGCCACACTTATCTTTCCACCCGGGTAAAGTCGTGTCCCCATACTTGCACATTCAATCACCATCGCTAGCATCATATTCAAGCAAGGATCTGGATTTATGCAACAGATACACAGTCTACTTGTCAGGGGCGACAGGGATATCCATTTTTCTGATTCAGCTCATAAAAAGCAAAAGGGCACACCCCGGAAAGCAATATGAAACAGCAAAGAAACTTCAAAACCTATCACGTTGATATCTTACTCATAGTTTTTCAATAGTATACAATAGATATTTTAATAGTTTGTTGTCAATAGTTCCTAAGGAGGATTTTCTACTGTTTTGGGATTGTTTTCAAATAGGTTTTAGATTGTTCCTCGATAATTATGCGGAAGTCCCTAATTGCAGTCGTACTTTTCTCCGAGCGACACAACATTTCCTGGACGCTCTTCGCCTCCTAATAAAAGCCTATCAATAGCATTACGATAGTTGGCTACCGAAAGTTTCTCGATATTCGACTATAAACAATTTCACGATAGTCGTCTATTGATAGTATGTTTCGAGTTTAACGATAGTCGACTATCAAGTTTTTTCACTATTGATAGTTAAATTTGGATTCCACTATCGATAACAGTACTGATAGTTTTGCATCACTAGTTGGGTCACCATGACCGCAGCGACACTTGTGTTCACTTGTGCTTTTTGACGGAACCTGGTGGGTTTCTTTGTTACCTGAAGACTGTGCTTTGTAAAACTCGCTCCGTAGCTTGCTCCTAGGGTGGCCATGGCGGGTTGGTCCAATAACGGCCATGTGGTTCCCGTGGGGAAAACCAGCAACAACGCAATAAGTCCATAAAATACATTCACGGAAAGGGGAAGGGCCACAAAAAGAACCAAGCTCTGTGGAGCAAGACCCTCCCCTAATGAGGCCACTGTTTTGGGCCGGCAGCCAGCGGGAAAAAGACGTGTCCGGGATGTCGGTAGCAGGTTTCCCCAAAGGGGCGGACGCGTCCAAGCAAGAATGTTCATGAAGGGTGTGCCAGTGGCACCCAAGAGGTTAAGGGAAAGCCATCTCTCTTGCATCTAAGTCGCACGCAAAACCATGGCAGCGCCCACAGCCTGCATAAGCTAGGCCTAGATCCGGATGTGGGGAACATGTGGTTCTGACAACTTCTATGACCAAAAGCCAGGATAGCAACGAATGACACACTGGCTCTTGTGACATAATTTCTTGCCATTTTGGGACCGCTTTTGATGCACGGGCAAAATAGGACGTTATATACACAAGTCAGAGATGCACAACAGTTCGAGCACCGAGCACTACCAAATGCTGCTCTGGTGCAAGAGCTTAGGTCAGTAAAATGTTTAGTTTCACGAGAAAAGAACCTGCATGCAACCCCTTGAGACAGAGTGTATTGGTGCTGTGGAAAAAGGGCTCACTCCGAGGATGGGGCCTGGCGAGACTGTGCCGTTGGCGGACACTGCTGTGGGCCGGAAGCGGCGCTCCTCCGGGCAGTAGCGGAGTCCGGACCCTGGCTTGTTGGCTGCCCACTGGCCAAACTGCAGAATGCACTCCAGCCGCAGCCAGGCCTGCACATAGCAAATTGGCCAGGGGAGGGCTTTGTTAGTTCAGATCAGTTCAGTTTAATAATCCTCAAAGGCCATAAATGCATGAGGTGCATTTCATGAAAGGTGGGGGGGGGGGGGGGGGGGGGGGGATGTAGTGGAAGAACTGAAAAGGGAAGAAAAAGGCTGCACTTCTGCAGCTTCTTCTCCTGCCTCCATTGCCCATTTATTATTATTAGAGTAAATAAAATGAATGAAATGATTTGAATTGAATTGGAAGTGCCAGCCTCCACTGCACCACATATCCAAATAATTATTCACCCCCAACCATAAACAGTATGACAAACAAGGTGCAGTGAAACCTTGGCCAAGTGAAAGCCTTGGAATAACAAACGTTTCAGACATCTTGATGAAATTCCATATACTGTACTGACATTTTAGCCGAGTAAACCCTTTTTTTAGATTCTCTAAAAATACACATGAGAAGGTGCGATTCCTTTCGTGCATAATGGCACCAACTCGGTCCGCACAAATAAGCACAGAATAGAGATGCAAAAATGACCATTTGGCGTAAGTACAAATGTATGGTTTCTTTCCAAATAGAACTTTCCAGAAAATGCCACAATGCTATTCTCAAGCATAAGGAGCAACGAAAATTCTGGGTGTTTCACCACTGAAAGGGCTACCGAAAAGAAAAAAATGCTTTTTTTATAATCCGGTTGGGACATGCGGGTAAAAAAAAAAATTTACACAAAATATATTTTGAAGAGCAATATTGATGGCACAAGATTTATTTTAAATTCTGCGCACAAAGCCCATGATGCTACAAAATGGTCATACACCTTTTCCACCTCAACGAGATGGTCATAAACACTCACCACCTCATTGTGATGGCCAAGCCGATCCACCTGTCCTCCACCCACCCAAAATGCCGAGAGAAGACAAGTGGAAAGGAGGTCACTACTGACTGAATCATGTACTGGCCGTCAATAATGCTCTAAAATTTTTTTTTTTTTTCGCGTAAAATAAATTTTTTACGTGCGTATCCCAAATATTGTCTAAGAAATTTTCTTTTTCATTTCAGTAGCTTTTTAATTTTGTCCACTACTGCGGCATTCACTGGTTTCTTCCAGCTGATCTCTAATTTTTATTTTTTGTTGTACTTTGTGGTGTCCTTGCTATGCGTGTGAGCAGCATTTTCAACAATGAGCGAGTCAGCTGCGACCGACAGATTGAAAGAGCGTGGTCAAATCTCTGGTTACTCGGCAGTCACAAGGAAGTTTAGCTCTCGCGGTACGTTCATAATGCTACAAAAATGGAGCAACTACTAAGCCTAATTGTGTTTCCACATGCTTTTTTCAAAAGTGCAGATTTATGTCATCTTTATGTCTCATTACATCTATGCATCGTCTTCAGTTCACATAATTATGCCTCGAAGACTGCTACAGTCACTGCCAGGATATGAAAGGCGGGGCCTCTCTTTTGGACATTTGGCCTCAAGCAAGCACTTGCTGCCTTTCACCGTGCATCGGCCTCAAAGATCACGAGATGCCCCAAACGTTATCAAAGCTAGGAAGCTTAATCTGGAGGCCGGACAACTGAAACACCTCACAACCACTCTTGTCCTGCGAGCGACTGTCCCATGTTTCCCTTTTACGCGTTACAAGAACCCCATCCCTTTCTAGGCCCCCGTGACGCTTCTATTAGCGGCGAGATGTTACGGTGGCGCCCTTGTATAGTTCCCTCTCGAGACGTCATGACCTTGCGAACGACATGTTCAATGGTGTTTGTAATGAGCATGTTGGAAGCTTGAAAGCATAGCACTCTGAAACCAACTTTGCCAACACTGTCAAATTGAAGTCCATACATTCCTCTTATTTCCGTCGATGAAAAATCTTTTGCTGACGTCATAGTCAGCATTCGGCCAGTCATGGGCAGGCTGACCACAGCGATGCTTTCAGTCGCTCACGTCGCCAATAGCGTTCTGCCAGGGTTTGCGCTGGGAGGTGGCAGACCCACCTGAAGTGCTTGGCTGGAGGGTGGCTGCAGTGCCCAGTCCACCGCAGCGTGTGCCCTGGCCAGTGCGACAGTGCCCCTGAGGCAGATGTCTTCGGCCAGGGGGGGTCCCTGACCCCAGTTGTCGCCGGGTAGTCCCACGGGGCCGCGGGGGGCCCCCATGTCCGAGCACCGGTCCATGGCCTGCCGGCCGTCTGCAGGATGGGCGTCGCATCGTATTCGAGCCTCTGTCACACTTATTTTAAAGCTCACAATTGCTTTACCTTTCTATCACTGAAACTGATTTCTATGCTTCAAAGCTATTTGAGAAATACTAGGAGTATGGCTAGGCATTCCCCTTTAGGGATGCACCTTCCGGTCCCTTAGTCCCCATCTTTCCTTTGTAGACTGGACCGACTTAATGTGAGTATATTTGAGCATTCTTCATTTGATGGATAATATCTCACTTCCCAGCAAAGTTAAAAGATTGGAGAGCAGTATTTTACTAGTTACCGCGTGACCTTGAACAAAGAAAGTGGATCCTCATGAACGCTTCCCGCTCACGTCCTATGAACTCCGGCTCCGGACAGGACTGCTTAATCTTTGGGTTACAGTAGGGTCGACCTCCCCAAACATTCTATAGGACCCGGCCCTGAATAACGCCGAGAATTTTCCACTTGCATCTTACGAGCTCCGGCTCTAGACAAAAACTCAACAAGACCTACAAGGATATAGGATTTTCCCCCCGCTTACTACCAATGGAATTCGGCTCCGAAAGAGTGACGTAATCCCAAACGATTACAAAGGTTTTAGAACATGGACCCCGGCTTAATACCCGTGTAAGCCATAACCTCCATCCCTTCTTCAAATGTCTAAAGAGGTTTCCCATGGCACCCAGGTCGTCTGTGGAACAGGCATTGCATTACAATATGGGTGTGGACATCTGACTGAGAAACAAAGCCAAACAAGAACTGCAACCAAAATACTGATTTGGTTTCATGTAAAGAGCTTAATCTCACTGACTGCAACCACTGGCTGATGTAGTGTGGGAAGCCTGTTTTCTCTGTTCTGTCTCTGTAGTCTGTTTTCCCGAATACTGTTTTGTATCTCGATGTTTGGGATGTTGACACATTTTATAGTCATGTTATAACACCTGCACTTATATATCTGAAGCACGTTTACAAAAGTGAAAGATATGTTTTAAAGTATAGAAATCATGAGCCATTCCACTCTGTGAAGGTGGATGACCAGCGCAGCTGTTTAGCGCAAGACACAGACGTGACACAGAATTTTGAAAAAAGGTACAAACACATTCATTGTCTTGATCGGTGGTCACTGTGACAAAAGGTAGGCACACATTTATTGTTCTCTTGATCGGTGGTCATTATTTTGCGTGGACTATCGCCGCCCCGAGGACCCGGAGGAAACTAGACACGTGCGACGGGACCGCCACCCGGTGGAAAGTAGTCACGTGCGACGGGACCGCCACCCGGTGGAAAGTACACGTGTGACGGGACTGCCACCCGGTGGAAAGTAGACACGTGTGACGGAACCGCCGCCCGGTGGAAAGTAGACACGTGTGACGGGACCGCCACCCGATGGAAAGTAGACACGTCTGACGGGACTGCCACCTGGTGGAAACTAGACACGTGCGACGGGACCGCCACCCGGTGGAAAGTACACGTGTGACGGGACTGCCACCCGGTGGAAAGTAGACACGTGTGACGGAACCGCTACCCGGTGGAAAGAGACACATGTGACGGGACCGCCACCCGGTGGAAAGTAGACAGGTGTGACGGGATCGCCACCCGGTGGAAAGTAGACACGTGTGACGGGACCGCCACCTGGTGGAAAGTAGACATGTGTGACGGGACCGCCACTTGGTGGAAACTAGACACGTGTGACGGGACCACCACCCGGTGGAAAGTAGACACGTGTGACGGGACCGCCACCCGATGGAAAGTAGACATATGTGACGGGACCGCCACCCGGTGGAAACTAGACACGTGCGACGAGACCGCCACCCGGTGGAAAGTAGTCACGTGCGACGGGACCGCCACCCGGTGGAAAGTACATGTGTGACGGGACTGCCACCCAGTGGAAAGTAGACACGTGTGACGGAACTGCTACCCGGTGGAAAGTACACATATGACGGGACCGCCACCCGGTGGAAACTATACACGTGCGACGGGACCGCCACCCGGTGGAAAGTAGTCACGTGCGACGGGACCGTTACCCGGTGGAAAGTACACGTGTGACGGGACTGCCACCCGATGGAAAGTAGACACGTGTGACGGGACCGCCACCCGGTGGAAACTAGACACGTGCGACGGGACCGCCACCCGGTGGAAAGTAGTCACGTGCGACGGGACTGCCACCCGGTGGAAAGTACACGTGTGACGGGACTGCCACCCGGTGGAAAATAGACACGTGTGACGGAACCGCTACCCGGTGGAAAGTAGACACGTGTGACGGGACCGCCACCCCGTCTAGTCTGGTGTCTGACACCGCCAGGGGGGGTCAGACACCAGACTAGACGCACCGGATGTTGCAAAAGGAAGGCACTAGACTTCTGAGCATGTTCGGTCGAGCAGACAAGTAAATTCACTAGTAATGGGCGGGGCGCTTAGAGCAGGCCGTGACCTCTACCTAAATTGCGTCTAAAAACATAAATATTGCGCAATTTATATTTTTCTGGAAAAACTAAGAAAAAAATGTGTCCCAGCTAAGCTTTAAAAAAAATATGTTTTCTTTATTGCCGTGTTTTTTAAAGTGATGATGTGTATGCAGATGAGCTTGCAAAGATCAAACCCAACGACTTAAACATGAGTTATCACAATTTCTCAAAGAGCACCAGGCACTTCTAGACTCTTGTCTTACCGAGATACTGAGCCACTGAAACGGTTGTCGACAAGCCTCCACAAAGGCCAATGCTGAGAAGGAAACAATAAATTCTAAAATGGCAATGACCTGGCCTGGAATGGTAATGACAAAGTGAAATAAACGGAATAAAAGGAAAGAAAAACTGAAGAAACAAAAACAAAGAGCCCATGCACAGCTGCTGCAAAACGTCTATACACCTTTCCAGAAAACACTCCTAGGCTACCGCCATGTTGCTGATGCGGCTCGTGAGACTCTTGCGCCCCCTATCAGCTAGAAATTTTCTTCCTCTCTCTTGGACTGTCGAACGGCCCTCGATGCGGTTTTGCGAACAAAGACAACTGTTCTTCCCCTTCCCAGAGATAAACCGCATAGAGTCCTTCTCAGTCATAGCCAAAAATAGTTGTTCGGGATGAAGTCAGTAGTGCCCGCTCCCTTGCCTTGGGCTGGAGTGAAAAAAGGAAGCCGTCCCCAAAACGTGCCCCAAAACGAAGTCGTCTTGGATTCCAAATGATCGTCAAGATGCGACTGTCGTCAACTGCGACTGTGTTATTTGAGATCTTTCTCAAATCAATTATTTTTTGACAACACTGCATCGTGTGGTACATACAATATATTGTTTAAATGCTAACACTTGCTAAATTGTATGTCCATGTCCTGTCCACCGGTAAACACATTATTTGTGAGCATAAAAAATGCATGCCTGTCGGCTATCTTCTGTTATAAATTATTTTCGATAGCCGAGCGCTTTATCATTTGACACACGGATAAACAGGCGGCAACGTCAAAACTTACCGAAGAGAACAACACCAAAAAACCGACAACTAAAATAGTTTACATTAATTTTTTGCTTTTTTGTTTTTTCAAATGTGGTACAGTCGAACCCGGATATATAGATTTAAAAGGGGATTGTAAAATAGTCCGATACATCAATAATTTGATATACAAAAATATGTTAAATTAAGCTCAAGCTGAAATTTTCTGGCGTCTCTGTTAATACCGAAGGTTGCGACAAACAGGAGCTTACCAAATAAAGCACCCAAGTGCCGCTAAATACAGTAGAGCGAAGTTGGTGGAGACAGCGAACACCACCATGCTTACATTCGCACCTGGCCGGGACCTCTAACACACAAAAAAAAGATTGAGGTACACCTAAGCACTTCTTATGAGTTGTAAATGCAAAAGCATGTACATTATTATTATAATGATATTAAATGCAAAGGTGCAAGCGAGCTGGACAAGAATGACGAAAATAATTCCTGGAGAAGGGGTACAAGAAGGGGAACACGCGTGTTGGCACGTTGACTGGCGCTGAGCTGGCACTGACTAAAGTTCCTGTGTAGGCTCCCGTAGGGCGCCTATACAGGAACTCTAGCGCTGACGGACACGCAGCGCTATAAGGTGGCCTGTCGTTGAAACTGACACGCAATGTCAGTTTCAACGACCGGCCACCCATGCTAGCCAATGGGATCGAAGCGGTGTAAAAGGTGCCGTGGCTAACCGACGAATGGGAGCTGGCTTGACTTGGAAAAGATTTAAGAGACTTTTTATTTGCTCATTTTATTTTGGGACTAGGGAGTTGCGCAGCATCAGCAGTGTTCGGGGAAAGGGTGCAGGCTACCATTCCGACAGCGGGCACTCCCTGCTCCCCTTACGCGCGTGCCCTTCCCTTTGCTTTCACCATCCTCCACTTTTAAACATTTTTTTTTACAGTGTATTATTTTTTTTTTTTTACAACTGCTCTTTCACTGCATATCTTACCGCGTGTATGCTGGCTTGGCGGCCTGCCAGCCCCGCAACGCGAGCGATGTGCTCGCCACCGGCGCAATCGGATCGCTGAAAAAGCAATGCGCGGCCGAGCTTCTTCGTTTGCTATATCGAGTGTCCCCGCCATGGGTGTTTGATACAAAAAGACAACGCTCCTATAATATTAGATGTGATTTTCAAGGGGATGCTTAGACCGTTTGATAAAAACAATAATTCGAAATACCTGGGTGTGATATAGCCAGGCTCCACTGTACAATGCTTTCTCAATGTTCTCGGGAAAATACATACACCATGAAACACAAAATACAGCGGGAAAAGACGAGAATTTAGCCGCCAGCAGTGTTTGAATCTGTGCATACGCAGGCTGCACCTTTCGAAATCACAGTCCACTCGGTTAGGGTTAGCAGGGGCGCCGGTGAGAGTCTAGCCTCAAACCCAATGACTGGGCTCGAAAACGGTTTGTTGCCCCTGGGGTTGAGTGTTCCTTGGAAAGGTGTATATGAGTTCCTTTAAAATGAGCAGTGCACACAGATTCCAATAATGGAAGGAACTAACCCTTTCCTCTTTCTGAAGAGGATACCCCTTCAAGAAGGACAAGGCAGAAGGCTAGGAACCTTGAGACACCCCTCAGAAGGAAAGAAGGACGAGCTTACCGGTGGTGGCAAGCACCAGCTCTTCAAATCTCTGCAGCACATTCAGCAGTGTTGCCAGGTGGAGCCACAGCGGACCCGCAGCCTGCAACGTGTAAATTCCCATTGTCACACAGATCACTTTACTCTAGCAAATTAAGGACAACTGGCAGCAATCGAAGTACAGAAAGTATTTGTCGGAGGCCACAGACGAGTCCGTCGCTGCTGAGCTTGAGCTTATGTCGACCGGCCGGGCTAATGCATAACAAAAGCTGGAGGCAAAAATTTATTCCCGAAAAACTAAGGCACGAACTCCATGCTGGAGGCCGGGAATTGGAAAGACGCGCCCTGCCATTCTCACTTTGTCGGCGACTGTACACACGACAACTGGAAGGGGGGGCCACTCACCTGAGCGCAGGGCCCCATGAACTCGGCGTGACCTCGCAGCCAGTCGCACAGCACCTTGATGCAGGGAAGCAGTCCCTCGCCACCCAGCTGCAACAGGAGCTCCCGGCCAGAGCCACGCACCGGGTCGCCACCGCTGTGGCATGAGAGAAGGGTTCGGGCGCTCACAAAGGAAGTGTCGGAGGAGGAATGGCAAGTACCGGTAAGACGACCCAATGCCTAATGGGCAGAGCATTTCCAATATTCTAATACTCTAATTATTATCATTCTGTACATGGTTCAGCTTGTAAGGTGTTGGAGAAAAAATGAGGCTGCATTTCTGCGGTGCTTTACAACAGATAAGAAACGTCAAAGAAAATGGCGCTTTTTGACACGAACCCAACTCGCTTCTCTGCCCCTTGCCAAACGCTGTTCCCTCTTTTCTTGCGTCTCATTGGCATGACAAAAAGGCTGATCCTTAGTGTGTCGCCGCTTCTGTTCGGCAACATCTTTGGAGCAGTGGTTGAGCGTTGGGCTCACAATTTTGGGGTCATGAGTTCGATTCCACTTGGGGGTTTGGTATATTGTTCTTTCCTCTCAATCCAATCATCTCTCCTGGACATGTACATTCGTTTCGTGTTACAAAACAAACTTTTCTAAAGGGCGGGGGGGCTGCTAAAAGAAATGTTATTGTACTTAAAATCAGTTATAAAGTAGTTGGTCACAATCTCTTATTGCAAACAATGCGTTGGTTGCAATAAGAGAAAAGGCTACTAAGTAGCACAGTCAAACCCAAGTACCGTATTTACTCGCATAATGAACACACTTTTTTCCCTGAAAAATTGACACATATCTGCATTTATTATGCAGGGTATAATACTTGCACTTACACGCTTCGTGCAAATATCATATTAGGTACCAATATGACATGGCAAGGTACTGTGGCATGTCTCCACTGATGGAGGCGCACCCACGGCTGGTCGGGGGCGCGCCACAGTAACCATGCTTTATAAAGTGTGAACGTTTTTAGGGCGCTTTCGGCGTGCCTTTTGCTGAAGGAAAAGCGGACTACGAAGCCCACTCAGCACAGAGAGCAACACGATCATTATTAGGCCTATCCGCTTTCACGATTTCACTGTCTGAAAGCAGACCACAGGGGACGACATGCTTGTTGATATCAATGCATCCGATAGGCGAAGAATGTCCAGGGATGGGCAATTCCTCAACCCAAGCTTCGTCAAGTGTGCGTGCTGGTCGGTTTCACGGTTGATCCCTTCCACAACTACGCACTTGAAGCCATTACGAGAGCGGCTTGGCTTGGCTTGATTTGGCCTGATCATTTGGTGGCAAAAGAAAATTGGCTCGGTGAGCTTGGTGGCTAGCTAAGTTGCATGCAATTCGAGACTCGCAGAGCCGAAAATTGAAGGTGCATTCATTGTGCGAAAGAAAAAAAAAAAGTCAAAATATTGGTACCAGCTGGGGGGGGTGCAATCATTATGAGAGTAAATACATATAGTGAACCTGGGAATGTTGCCATATCAAATATAACTCTCTAAACCCAGTTTCCTGCTCCTGGTAATGCATTTTCAATAAAACTTAAGTTGATTGCCGAAGTATCTTGAGCCATCTCACATGTCGCAGGCCGTTTTCTTATACGTAATGCATGAACTTCCCAGAACATAGGAGGAACTGCCGTCATTCTTCCTTTCATTTCTACCCTGGAGGAAACACGGTGAGTGGATGTAGAAGTGATTTTCAGCAGTGTCGCGGCAATGCAAAAGATTACTTTCCTCTAAATTCCAACGGTAGAAGATTGCTAGGCAATCTCATTCGGCTGTCAGAACCCGAGTCTCACCATCCCGCCATGATCCTCGTAGCCACGTCCCCTCCTGGATGCGACCCGAGGCGGTTTTTGAAGGTTGAGAGTGCTAATGCACCGCTGCTCTAAGCTTACGGAGCGAAAGCTTGTACCGCAGAACCCAGGGATCCTGGGTTCAGTTCTTATATCAGCCTGCTTCTATGTGGACGAGCACCGCACCTGCATGCGGTCGTGTATCACTACTGCATGATGAACATTAAAGGTTCCAGGCTACAGTATAGACCACTTACAACATAACCGCTTTAGTGCAGGACCGGGTATAACGTGGTTTTTTTAAACCACTGGTTCGCCTCCCATAGAACTCTATGTAATTACATAACGCTTAAAATGCAGGCGTGCGAAGGGAAATACCGGTTATAGTGCGGTTTCTGGCACAGCCCGCCGACCGTGTCGATGACCGGAGCAGCGAGCACGCTTCCCTGTGAGACACTAGATAACGGCGCTGACGGCGCGAGCCGCAAGCGGCAATCGCGGGACAAGGAGATTGCTCGAAGAAGCGGGGAGAAGCGAAGAGAGAGGCTTCAGTTGCCATAGCGACGGAGGGACGCACGCACGTGTCGTTCACGTGCGTCTGTCCCTCCGCTGCATTGGAAACGAACAACCGCAACGACAGACCAATCGCAGGTCAAGGAGAAGTGTTCGCGCGCGTTGCATGCCGGTCGCGGGCCGGCTGCTTCTATCCGCAATCATGGCGTCGGTTGTGATCGTCGTCGTAGACGGCGTTCATCTCATCGTTCCGCGTAAAAGCGCCATCCTTGACTGTGAATTTTCGTTGTGCGTCGCTATGATAAACCCAGCAAATACTAGAAGGGAAGATCCACCTACTCGTGCGGCGATGTCGTGGCGGCGCTCTCAAGACGACAGAAACGCCCGTGTCGTCGTGTTTGTTTACTTCGACTACAGTGGTGATTTCCAAGCATTTGTGTCCTCGAACATCGCCCGGATTTCTTATTTGGCGCATTTCATGCGTGTGCTCAAGTTCAAGGTATTACTGGCGCGTACTGTATGAAGGATGCAAATTTTCACGCGTTTTCCTCTCCGGAGAAAAGTGATTAGGGTTAGCAATCCTGAACGCTTGCAACGTCTGTCCGCAACCCGCGACGCAGTTAAAAGGCTGCGCCAGGCAAAATCCGCTCATTTCTTTTAAAATGTGTCACACTTGAGACAGAACTGTACTGGTCTGGTGAAATAAGGACTTTCCTCAAACTAAGCTTTATTTTTCATGTAACATAAAATGAATTCTTTTACAAAGGTAAGTTGTCTCATGGCATGCATTTTGGCCTGAAAAATTGATGTTTTGGTTATAGCGCGGTACCGCTTGTAGTACAGATTTTCGCGACTCCCGCGACATATGTTATATGCGGTCTACACTGTAGCAGTCCTATGCCACCAGCTAAATTTACAATCTACGGCGGATATGCCAGACGCCCATTGGTGCCAACTAACAAACATGCATCACAGTTAGATTTTATGTGACCCGAATGTGCGCATGCAATGCTCTTTGCCAAACAAAATTTAGACGGGACGGTTTCCTTTTTCTTATTTGGATGGGATGCAGCCTTTACCTGTCATTGGTGGCAGTGCCCAGAGGACTTTCGCCTTCTTCGGAGTCTGGATGGCTGCTCCAGGGATCGGTGGGACTCGAATGGTCGGAGGATTCTGCACACCAGATGTGGGCACATTTATGTGTCTATACTTCCAAGGCCCTTCATTTTTGCGACCCTAAAACTTTGCACAGTTCAGGTGCGCTTCCGTACATTTAACATAACAAAAAAAAAAAAAAAAAGAGCAATCAAAGGGACAGAACAAAAAAAAAAGGGACACAGGAATACACATGCTGACTCACAACGGAAATATAGAAAGAGAAAGAAAAGTGCCGTTTTTCATTGTGTTCAACGATCACTAAATAACCTAATTAACCACCCTGTTCCAAACATTAGATTTTGGGAAAGATTACGAGCACATCCGTCGTTCTAGTGATCGGTCGTTCACGATCAAACTGACTCAAAGCAAGGAGGAGGGATTTCCTCCATTCTGATGGTGCACTGCCCTTTAGGAAGAGAAGACCACAAGTGCAAACTATGCACACACTTTCAGATAAAAGGAAAGAAGAAGAAAACGAAATTTAGAAAGTTGCCAGCATCAATCTAAACCTAAAGGCTTGTCCATGCACTCGCGTTTGGTTGCAACCGAGTCTGCTGTGCATCCTCGTGTTCACTTGTGACGACGAGAAAACACGGCGGCACGCTGGTGCCACCTGTGGGGTAGCCCGAAGAACTGCGTTTGACTACTGTAGAATCCTGAACGAACGCCCACACCCAAGAGATTGCCCACCCTGTTTTTCGGGCCGAATATATGCAACATAAAAATTCCGAAACATCATGCAATCCCCCGATTCACGCAAGATATCAGTCGCGTAATGTCTGATGGGGGATCGCATCAACCGCGCTATCTGCAATATCAGTATGTGTGACAAGCATGATCAGAGCAGGTTTCCTCGTGTTCATTGTACCGTGTGTCACAAATTTAAATAGACTTTTTTTTTAAGCTGCTTTTGTTGCGAGTTTAGATGTTGCCTTTTCGGCATTTTGCCCTCAGTGACGTGTGTTTGCCTCCAGACGCGCTTTTGCCTATGGGCGTGATGTGGTCTTCGGGCATGTTTTTGCCTGCGGGCGGTGTGTTTTCCCCGTTTAGGGAGTGCAGTGTTGCGTAGGTCCACTGATGACCGATACACACGATGAACTGATCTGCAGATGGATTGTTCATGTGACGATATGTCCACGGTTCGTCTATCTCCCAAGCGCATCCACACAGGGAAGACAACGAGCAGACACCAGTGAGGATGGACCGAACCTGTTTGCTTCCCCACAGTGCTGCGAAACTCCAACATCGTACAGTGCAGTCCACTTATAACGATATTATTAAATGCGGAAAATCCGATCGTTATAACCGATTATCGTTGTATCTGGACTGACCCTGAAAACTGCCCAAAATAGTTCCCCCAAGCAGAGGGTTACTCACCAGTGTTCACTGAATAACACCATAGAAGAAACGCCGCAATATAACAAAGTTTTATTGTAGGGTCATCAGCAAGCACACAATGAAATGGTGTCAAACACGCAAAAAAAAATCCAAGATCTCCGCTTGCTTGTGTGGCAGCTGGAGCTTGACTATCGCGGTGTGCATACAGCTCGTACAAGGCTTCCCTAAGCCTTTACCGCTGGTCGTCAAAGCCGCTTGTTCCAGCCTTCTTCATTATGACGTCCCCGGATTTCAGGATGGTCGATATCGTCGACTAAGAGTGCTCATACTTCCGGACGAGACTTCCGACCTTAAATCCTTGCCGCCAATCACGTAGGATTTGCTTTTTCTCCTCGAAGAAGATAGCTTTTCGCTTCGTCAGAGCCATCTTTCACGCCAGCGACGCGGGGAAGAGGAGGGCGGGAGGGGTTACGAGGTTATGGGTATGATGATGATGATAGCGCCGAGGGTTTAAGGTTGCGCACAGCGCCTACTCACGGAGTACTATTCGGTCGGGGCCCATCGGCGATGATCGCGTCCGCCGATCTCGGTCATTTCTTCGTGGAATTTCACAATTTTTATCTCATTTTCTGTTGAATTTTCGTAGTAAACATATTCTACGCGATCATTTATTGATCGTTATATCCGATATGCCGGGAAAAATGCATCGTTATATATGGTTTATTTTTTCATAGAACCAATGCAAAAATTTATGCTTCTATAAAATTGATCGTTATAACCGATATATCGTTATAAGTGGTATCATTATAAGTGGACTGCACTGTACCGTGGCACTGTTGTCCAAGTGAGAAATCAATGTTTGCTACCGCAGTAAAGAATCATACGCTGCTGTTCCGCACAGATTGAGAAGGAACACAGTGATAAACTTTGTGCGAAGCGCCAATGGCTTTACTAACCCAAGGCATGACAGTGACACAGGCGTGGCTCTGCGATGAAGTTCTGGGCTCGCAAAGTGGCATTTGGAGATGCCTTCACGTACTCCGTGCTCGTGCAGTGCACCACAGCCAGAAGGAGAGCCTTGCTCGGTCAAAGGCTGATTGGACGTGCAAGAATTATTGCGGCGTGCTAGACGAGTTTTGACGAAAGCTTCTTGACACGGACTCGGAAAGAGTACCGGAGCCTGTGTCACGTCATTTGGACAAAGCTTCTGCAGTTTCTTTCACGTGTGAAACCAGGAATCGAACGACAAAATGAACCAGCGAACGCACAAAACACAACGATGTGCCATTTTAATGCGAAAGCAGTAACTGTTCCATGGAGCGAACCGGCGTTATCAGCTTTTGAAGCCGTGCCAAACGGCACCTAAATTCCCCTGTCCCATGGAGCGAAGCCTGTAGTCTGTAGCAGCCACCCAATTGGCTGGCACACGGCGCAGTTCCAAGGAACGCCACCCCACAGAGAAGCCCGCTCCATGGCGCAGCGGCCCGGCCGCCGTTAAGAGCGAGCCGCCGGTTGCTGAGCAAGCACAGCCTGCCTGGGCAGACTCCAAAAAGGCCGTAAGGCCCAGCTCAGCACGTCGCGCAGCATGTAGAAATACGCAATGTATATGAATGCTTTTGCGTTCCGACAGATTAGTAGTCTTAAAACATGTACTCCACAGGTTTTTATGAGCCACCTCAACTAACTATATTTTCTGCCTCCTTGGCCTTTACCATTTCCGGTATGCTATTTAGTATCACAAAATTCCTAATAGTTAGTGTGGAATCGGCAAAATAAAATGATGCAAAAATAAACGTTCAAATATACCCGCACTTTTCAGTGCCGTAACGTCAGTGGCAGGCAGCCTTGCTAGTCGAGCAAGCAGTCTAAAAAATAGAATATGCCACTCCTTTGTTCCGTGCTGGAGTGCGGATACTGGAGCGAGCTTCCGAAGCATTCATTTCACACCATGAAACTGCTTTGAATCAACTGGGAACAAATTCTACAGTTCAAAGAGTGAACCCCCCTCTTCCACAGATGTCACTTTTTCGTTGTTGCTAGTAGAGACTTTCAGTTTGAAAAACGCGGTGAGGACCAAAACTGTAAATTCAGCAACTTCATGAAAAAACAATATTTTGACCTAATATTTGGGATACTATTTTAGCGATATTTGTTGGCGAGTTGAGCAAAATTTCAAGCAAATTGGAGACAACGAAAAAACCAGTGGAGTACCCCTGTAAGTGTGTTTGTTTTAATTGTCTGGAAAAAAAAGAACAAAAAAAAACAACAAGAAAACTTTGTATCGTTGCCAGACTAGAACGCTTTTCAGGTCAAACTCCCGCCAAAAACCTGCGAGTGAAAAGGCGCTCAACCGCGGACGAGGCGTGGATCGCAGGAATCGGTGACATGATGGTCACGTTGTACACGGTCCGCGAACAAAAAGATGGGGTTTTGGTCCGTTGTGTGAATCGGCTACGAGCAGCGAGACGACAATTTTCTGGACCCGTCATCCGCCTAGACTCGGTAAACCTGCGAATGTTCTCCTGGACTTTGGGTCCAGCAGTTGACTTTCCCTTTTCTGAGCTTCTCTTTATTTGCGCCGGTAAACCCCGGTCCGCAGCCGCATTTGTGTCACGAGCGACGTGTTGTTTCGCGGTGTTTTGATTTTGGAGTGTTTGCCGTTCTGTTCTTTGTGGCTGCAATGCCCAAAGTTTCTCAAGTCCAATTTCGAGCTAATACGCATGTACACGTTTCCTTTGTTGAGCTTGTTGCCGTGTGTGGCTGTTTGTCGCCCTGATTAAACTTCTGTTTTTAGAGTCTTCTTCGGTCAACTTCACGCCGGGCGTGGACTTGTAGCTTGTCACTGGTCAAAATCTAGAGTTTCTTATCTATTCAAGTAATTTATCGTCTTCCAAGGAAAGTTAAAATATTTTTTAAATTTTGCCTCACTCCGTGACATCGTAAAATGCACTCGTTCCGCATTTTTATTTTTTGTCCACGACCCGCGTGAGCGATATCGGTCCCCGCGACATGTGTGTTTGCGGCGGTTTTCCGCATGCTTATTGTGCAGCGTGAATTTGCTGTGTCTGCGTTCTGTTCCTGTGACGAGGTAGTTTGCAGCAAATTCCCGCGTGTTTATTGCACCTTGATACGCAAATTGTCCGTGTCTGCAATCTGTGACTTCAATTCCCATTTCACGATTTTTAATAAAATTTTGCTGTCGCAACGCCAACAACTGCTCACCCCAGATTTTCACTGCTTATCTATTCGTTTCGGGCGAGCCTTCTTACGGGATTTTGCGGCAGAGCGAAAGGTTTTGCAGTATTTGTGGGATCATAAGTACATCTACGATAAACGAGGTAACATATGCGATAAACGAGGTAACATATGCAAGTCATGAGTCTTCCAGGACTACCAAATACCATATTTACTCGAGTAATAGCCGCAGTGTTTATGAAGAAAACCTGAGGGTTCGCTTTTCCGCAAGGCACGAGGATGGTTAGTCACCGATTTCGACGGCAGGATTCCAGCGATTTAGAGGACATAGATAACGTCTTCGTGCGAAGATACCACCTGTGAAGATTGCATTTGTATGGAAACTCGTGTTCTCGATCTAGTTATTCGCTACCTTATTTATGCACAACGCAATGATTGGCTGTATGAGTGCTTTGTGGGAAAGTAGACGCAAGGGCCTTGTTCATAAATAGTGCGGCTATTATTCGAGTAAATAGGGTAGATGACGCCAGTGTATTCTCTCATTGTGAGTGATCAGAAGGGAGCATGGGGCTGCATGACATACTTAGCTGCAATCAAATGCAAGTGCGTGAACCAGTCCCAAGGTGAACAACTAGAAAAACACTCGCACCTGCCCCCCTACTGCCGCCAGCTCCCTCTGGCGGCACCGCATCCCCAACAAGGTACAATAAACTAAAAAACAAACAAACCAATAGAAATAAATCGATGCATTCCCCGACATCTTACCGTGGGTGCTGCCTTCGTCGGTGCTCGTACTCGGACTGCACGTCATCCGGTGGCGGCTCTCTTTCGTAGGCCTGGACTGCTGCACCGACTGCTGTTCCGTTTCCGGTTTAAGTTTTTCTCCCGGAGGGGGCACGAGACACAAGGGACTGCCGCAGCCGCTGCCTTCCCCCGAGTCTGCGTCGACGAAAAGAATGGCGTAGTGGCGTCAAATTTGAGTGACCGGCGACATGAACGCCGAAGCATGTTGTTTGCACGTTGCGCGGTACTTTTAGTTTTTTCAAAGAAAACATCGCACACTTCATTTATAACGGGCAATTTAAATGAAATATCCAAGGAAAGATTTTCTTGGCCTCTAGTTAGTGTTCCATGCTCTTTTTTAAGAATAACTATATAACCTATTTTTTTCCCCCGCTGTTCTGTTTATTATCCGATTTTTAGAAACGCTATATTTAGGTTGACCAACATCTGTTTCAACAAAATTTCATTTGTTTCTCATAATTAACCTGTTACAAATTATTTTTGGTGCCGTTGGACAGTTCAAACGCCTTTTTCTTCATTTAATTTTTCACTATAAATTTAACTTTAGTCATTTCATCATCTGATAATAGGTCTAAATAAATGTCTAATTCTTTGTTTATCCCGCAATTAATGAGGAAGGTGCCCATGAAAAAATTTATTTTTAACTTTATTACCATCTTTAATAAAACAAACAGAGGTTAAGGCCCTCTCGAAGACACAAAAGACCTAAAGTTGTTTGAATATGTAGAACAATGCTACTATAGAAACAAACAACTTTTACCAAATCTTTTTCATAGGCACACCGTTTAGACATTTTACTTCGTATTCAGCAAGAAACATGTGGGACATTGCATCAGTTTTATGATGATAGATCGAGTAACTATTATCAGTGTGTACTCAATAAAAAAACCAGAATCTCCTTTGCAATTAAAACGGAGACAAAACTTTGCACCGCTTTCCTCCATGTAAACAAGAGCAATGTCAGGTGGTCCACTTTAATAGCGTCAGTTTAAAAAGACAATGACTCCAAGCTTGCACCAAGCTTCTCAAACAAACCATTAAGCTTGCACTTCCCATCTGATAATCTTGGTCACAATGTTACGGGTAGGAGACGTGAGAGGGCGCCACCGAGGTATCTCGTCCCCAATACTCTCAAGAGGCCCACCTCACTCGGCACGTCTAGTCACCCATCTTTTCGCCCATTCCGTTAGCACCACACCCCCCCATCTCCTCGGGCGATTCCAGTCAAAAGAACCGAAGTGCATCCCATCTCATGCAAGTAAACAATGTTTCCAGAGAGAACATCTGGCATCAATGTTTCCAAGCCCCGACGCTCGGCTTCGTTTGGCGTCTTTCTCACATGCTCGAGTTGCGGAAACTGCCTAAGTCTCGACAACGTTGCGCAGCAAAGTTTACGCCAAGGGCAGTTTCACGAAATGCCTATTCACTTCAGGTAACCATGTTCCGCCACGTTGACGAACAGTGTCTGCCACTTTCCCGGTTAGTTTGGATTCATACGATAAGTTTTTGGCATCCTTTTTGGTATCGGTGAAACGCGCGGGCTCAGTCGACGATGGAACTCGGTAAGTATGACCGGGGACGTATTTGGGCCGCATAAACCCACACTCACTTGGTTCCTTTTATCCTTTTGGAGTCGCCCCAATGGCATCTCTCGGGCAATTTTGGGCGCCCGTGGGTCGACCTCTCGATCATCAGCTCGTCTTAGGTCCAAATAAAGACCGGTACGTATAAGAACAGAGTACCTGCCGATGCTTTATGTTCCCAACAACACCGGCAGGTCCCGTCGATCACAACACGAAGAGCTCGAGCGAGTTGGAAAACACTACCTTCACGCGTGTCAAGACATGGGGTGAAACGGGCTAAAGTTCAACAATGTGGCTTTTGGCGAGATGTCGAGCCGGAAGTATGTCACGAGAGACCACCCCGCAGACAAGCCAGGGGGCCTTCTCTCCTCCAGGGCAGGCTCACCGGGGCCGCTGTTTGGGTCGGCGACACCGTCTGGTTGGGCGGCGTCGGGGCCCCGGAGGGACAAGGGGGCCACAGGGTCCTCGTGTCCGTCGGTGGCGGGAGGGGCCAGGCGCCGACTGCAAGCCGCCAGCACGTGCGAGAACAGTGACAGAGTGAAGGCGGCCGCCGCACTGCTCAGTGGGTGGGGTCCTGCGAGGAGAGGGCGGATCCAAGCGGCGCATCAGTTTTGACCGTACGCTCTTGCAGATGGCTCTCTCTCCTTCTCTGGTGCCACCGGTGCACCCTTCAAGAATGTTTGTACTCGGACACTTCTGCACATCTGGGTGAACTTATTGCCGATGTCCAGGACGAGTCCGTTCCCTGCAGTTTACGTCGTAAGCCCCCCCAAAACAGTGGCCAAGGACTCTCTCTAGGGAGGCTTGCTCGATGAAGCCCTGCATTCTTTTTGTGCCTTTCCCTTTACTGCGAGTCTATTATATTGCAACGGCACTGCCTCCGACGGGCAATTCTGCCAATAGAGGAAGCACAGCTACCTTGGGTCTTGTTGGCCTTCGGAAGAGTGTGTTGACGTATCAAGTTGGTAAACGAGACTTGCACGAACACACTGCTGCTGCTGCTGCTTGATTACCCAAGTCGACCAGTAGAAACACCGTCTGTGGCCCCAGTCACACAGTGACTACTGGTAGCGACTAGCTTTCGCAAAGAAAGCTGGCGCCGTGACTGCTGCGGCACCAACGACAAAGGCTCTCTTACGGCATTAAACAGTTCACCGATAGGTGCCTACGCGTTGCGTGTTTCCCAAGGTGGCTCTGTCACTTGGCTCAAGGGGCAGGGGTGTTTATGAGGTCGGAAATGGTGAAGACTGAGTAAGAGAGCCACACACAAAAGATTGAAATAAACTAAATGCTAAATGCACTTTTCTGCTAAATGAAAAAACAGCAAGTAGAAAAATGTCTGCCCTCTGCGCCGGCACTTCGCTTCGATGAAAAACAAACGAGTTTTCGTTTTATTTCGTTGCGTCTAATGTGGGGTCCAACTCCGCACATGGTCAAACCTTCTGTAGTGTTTACAAAATAGGCTCATCTTTTTCGCGAAAAGTATTTGAATTCTTGCAGATACTTTTTCGTTACTTTTTCAAAAACGTATTTAAGTTATAGTTACAGTTACTTAAAAAAAAAGAAGGTATCGAGTTACAGTTAAAAGCTAAAAAAAAAAAAGCCGTTTACAACTCCCTGTAATGCCGAATTGGAGCACAGCTCTTGAGGAGGAGGAGGGAAGGTTACTGAGGGGAGGGTATACCCCTCCTTTCTCCTCCTCCCCTCACGGGGGTCACGTGACCTAGAGGGGGGGGGTATGTGACCTGGGGGGGTCACGTGACGTGTGGGGGTCACGTGCCCCCCCCCCCCCCCCCCCCCTCCCCACCCGAGGTCACGTGACCCCGGGAGGGGGCTCGCACAGTGCATTATGGGGCATTTTCCATAATGCACCGCACGGGTATGCCGACGGCGACGCAGCTCAAGCCGGAAACGGGAGCCTAAGAGCTGCGCTCTAAAAAGTAATGAGTTACAGTATCGCGGTACTACCCAAGATTGGCAATAAGCCAGTTTCACTGGACCATTTTCCTGGTGCGCTCTAAATACGTACCACTTTGCTCGGTTAAAAGCTTGTAGAGAAATTATGCATTATTTACTTGAATATTGTTGCATGGCTTGCAAGGTGACACCAGTCTGTTTACTGCCCTACCTAGCATGCATATATCCAAAACATATTATGAAATGGGCCAGGAGATTGTTGAAAGCTTTGAAAGCACTTTTTCCTAAAAATATAACTGACACAGGATCCTAGTCACCTGAAGTGCCACGCTCAGCATCGTAGTGGTGATGGCAGTTATGTGCGAGAACATTGTACCTCGTCACTCGCTAGGCTGGCTCCACCAGAGCACTGCACGGGCTTTGGCTTTCCCGAAAACTTGGGACGGCATTCTTTTGGTGGGTCTGGGCCAGTCCCGGGCTTTATTCTGCAAGCCCGGGCCGGGCTCGGGCTTGACTGTAGGCCCGGGCCGAGCTCGGGTGGGCATTTTGTCGGGCCTAGGTCGGGCTCGGTATTGAGGCCCGAGCCTGATTTAAGCCTGCTAACGAGTGTAATAGTAGATTTAGTTTCAGTGTGGGACAGCTCAGCTTTGTTAATGGTATTGTCTTGACGACAAAGAAAACACAAGCGTAGCTTTACAAAATATTTACGTAGAACTTCGTCCGAGTGGCGAGAGAAATGAAACGCGATTATGTATGCAGTCATAATTTACTTTGGAAAAAATCACGGCACTCTGTAGATCAATGGATTAATACACAGCAAGAATGATGATATAAGTATGATTTGTTTCGGCTGCAGCGCAAGCCGACAGATATTGTACTTCTCGTCTTGCTCCCAAAGTGCAGCACGTCGTGTTTTTTGGGAGTCACCAGAGTGGAGAATAAAAATCAAGATGATTTAAATCGTAATTTAAATTGTGATATAGATTGTACCGACTTGGCTGTGATAATATAAATCAAACGCTTTCTCTGAGAACAACACTGAACTCCAGTAACTTCAAAACTCGACTTTCTACAAGCTGTGGAGAAAACATATCCACAAGCTTTGTTTGTAAAGAGCGTAGAAGCAATTGCTGCAAACAAGGTAGCCCAGAACTTCTTATCCCATCACGCAGGTTTGCCGAAATAGCCGGGGGCACTGGCGCAAAAATGTCCCGCACAAACCCTTCTGGCAACTGCACGGCGGTCGGCCGGCGTAAGCAGCTTCACCTGATTTACGCAGTTTCTCAGTGCACAGCATGGCCATGACGGCGGCTCGGAAGACCAGGTCGGCCGTGGGCATTTCCGGCTCTGCCAGCAGGGCAGACAGCTGGGCCAAGGTCTCTTCGCACAGCGCCTGGATGCCACTGCCGAACAGACCGGATGCATGTCAGTGGAGTCTCTCTCGAAGGGCACACCCCGTCCCCAGTTTGGAGCGCGTCTCCGATTGGCATGTTTACCGTGCCCTAAAATGTGGTACCTCGATTTCTGCCAGACGACATCAAAGCAGTGTTATGTCGTTGCCCGCAGCAATCCTGGTGGCGGTGAGCGGCTGAGGTCAATGCGGCAAACGTTTGTTCCGCCGTGGCTCGCTCTCAGGTAAACAGTCCACGAAACTTTCTGAAGCAACGAGTGTCGGGATGCCGCAAAGATTGCGACACTTGCGAGCGCTCGTCTTTTCTGTGGAAGTTCTACGACCCACCGCCAGGATTGCAACGTCCAACGGCGTGACTTCATTTGTTGCCACCTTGGGACCAATTTTGACGTGGGGGGCCTAGGACGCTAAGCACGCTGGTAGAAGACGCGTTCCCTACGCCGTAGTCCCGAGGCCTCGCCACTCACTTGGTGTCGGTGGAAGTGTACAGATGCTCGCACAGCTTCAGGAAGTGGGTGGAAAAGTGGAACAGGTGGTTATTCCTGCAAAGGGAGACAAGCGTCGCTCTGGTCAAGGCAGGCAACGACAACTCTAGAAGGGACTGTGAATTTTGTAACCCTCATTAGGTAACATTTAGAGTACACTACCTGCATTTATAAAGCGTAAGACAAAAATCAGCTTTTATGTGAACACGCGAGGCTTTGCATAAGAAACAAATAAAGGCTACAACTCGAATTACTTTATTTTTCTGAACCGATTTGTGCCCCGAAAGCGACCAATCGGATGTATGCGTTGTTGTGTAGGCACCTTAGAAAAGACTTGGAAAGGTGCTACGTGAAACGTTCCTTGGACAAGTGTTCGGCATTTTGCGAAGCCCAGATAAAATCGTGGCCGCGAGGCTTGACACCGATTGGCTGACAGGTGGGAGATGAGGAGAGAGATGCTCGATGCTGACTGGTTAACAGGAAGGTAATCTGACCAGAGGAGTAGGTGAGGAAGAGTTTGACCACCTGAGAGCACCGAGGGAGAGGAGTTGGAAGGTATGGAGGGCTCTGGAATATCACCAGGTTTTTCAACCCGATTAGTGGCAGTATCGCTCCATTTTAGGAACAACTATAAAGTGTACACATATCACGCGTTAAACTATTATCTGGTTAAAAATGCTGTGAATGCAGGCGTCTGGCACTTGGAAGCTCAAAGTATTGCTAAACGTTTGTGATCCTTGAACGTTTCACATATGCAGCACTATTGCCTAGCAATTTGCCATTACTTAATTTTTTTTTTTTTCGATTGCTTATTCAGGTGGGTTCCTAGGAAGTAAAAACAAACCTTAGTTCACCATTGGGAGAAATTTGTGATTTTTAGAACCTTCCTCGCTCTCCACTTGAGCAAGTAAAATCTCCAGTATCGGCGACCAAAGAAACTTGACGACCCATAACGTAGGCATAGATCAAGCCAGACGCACTACACACTGTGCCATAACGGAAAAAAAAACAAGAAAACCCCCATACAGCCTCTGTTCGGTGTGTGTCATACATGGCTTGCACGTGAGGTCAGTCTGCCCTTCTTTCTGGTGGCCAGAGACGCCTTGCTAATGCAGTGGAAGCTACCCTCTCACGCATCCTTTTCCCCGTTATGTCTGACCAAGTGATGTCAATGCAAGCTATGCATAAGGGTGTTTCTCTTTGTCTACATTGTTTTACCAAGCTTTTCCCCTCAAATCGTATAGCCTTTAATAAAATAAGAGATGAACAATCTACATATTTTGGGTTTTCAGACACATAGCCACCAGCCGAGTTTTTTTTTTCACTTTGCAGGGACCAAACAAACGCCTGAATAATAGAGCAGTCCGAAAATTCGGCAGATGAAAAAACTTGCCTTTATTATGTCTAAGCAGGCTTCAAAAAGCCGTCTATAGTGCCTCGCTTCAGGTTACGCTTCTGCTTGCGTTCGGCCGCTTTCTACTACCTTGAGAATCGCTGCCTCCGATTCTAGCGTTACGGTCAAGTACTCTCCGTGCTTCTTAGCGAAACTTCGCGGCGGCGGAAGAATGGATGGAGCCACAATGTCCGAAAACCCGATTCACCGAGACAAGATGAGAGGCGCAAGTTTACGACTGCAGAATGGTGAATGAACAAAGCAAAACGGTAGCAATGATGATGATGATGATGACGCACAGCTAGAGAAAAAAAAAGGTAGCATGTGACACCTAGCGGTAGGACCTAGCAGTACTCAAGTAGCGCTGCCAAACCAAGCCAATCCATGTGCAGACAACATAGAATCTAAAATGGCGGCCTCATGATGGTGTTTCCCGCCGATCGCTCGTAACAATTTAGTTAAAAAAAATCTAACTTACAGGATTCAAACTGTCCGAAACTTCGGTTGTAAATATGTACCATTTCTATCAAATAGGTCACGGTTCCTCGGTTAGGTCCGAAATATTGAATTGGTCCGAATCATCGGCGTCCGAAAAATCTATTGGCTTATCATCAAAGCTGGCACAAAAGAATATTAACATGTACTGTTTCTCTCAGTCCATTGTCTTCTTTGCTTTATACAGTAAAACCTTGTTGATATGTTTTTCAGGGTACCGGGGACATAAATTGTATGATCCGGGAAAACTTGAGGAACGAGAATGCTAGAGCTGAGACAGATAGCAACTGTCACGAAACAATTTATACTATGCAAGCATTCGTAGGTAGGAACTCAAACTGGCCCAGAAAAAGTTGGTGAACATCTGTTGGTGTGAACTCAAATACATGAAAACAAGCTCGTAATTTTCACCAGGTGCCTTGGGCAACCATAAAGCGGGTGAGCGACAGAGCCCTGGGTTCGGGGAGGGCCATTTGCTGATGTCCTCGTTGGTTTGTCCCCACGCAATTGTGCACAACACTCCAGTACACCAAAGCCGTAAAAAGGTCTTGCACATGCAGCTGAGATTGTGGTGTGCTATACGAGTTTTGACAGAAACTTCTTTACACGGACCCGAAAAATTACCAGAACCGTGTGACAACACGGACCAGCAAATGGACAAAAACAGAAAAAGGCACAATGATGCATCATCTTCGTGCTGCTCATTAAAAAATTAATTTTTGTGGATTCGAAGTAAAAATTATCCGCGAGTAAAAATGTGCTTGGCTTTTTCGGTCCGAGCTTTTCACAAATTTTTGGTGAGGATTGAATCGAAAAACGTTTTTTCTGGCAATGTCGCACCTTTTTATTTTTTGCCAAGCAAAATAAAGCTGGCACATTGTTTCGTTTCGTCTCTCCTGTCCGTATGCTGGTTCGTTTTGTTGCGCGATTTCTGGTCCCACGCGTGAAGAAAGCTGCAGGAACTGTTCCCGGCAGACGCACTGCAGGTTCCAAAACTTGTCCAGGTCCGTGTCAAGAAGCTTCTGTCGACACTCGTTTAGCATGCCGCACTCTGTCCTGCATATCCAACCAATCTTTGATCCGGCAAGACCAAGACCCACGAGGTTGTGGAGGACATTATTCTGCCTGTGGTGTATCAAAGTGTTGTGCATGACTGTGCGGAGATGAGGACATGGGCAAAACGCCCCTTCGCGAGCAATGGACTCCGTCGCTTTTACACTGAGCATTCTCGAGCAGGATCACACTTTTGTTATGCTTTGGGTTAGTAAAGGTAGTGGCGCTCTCCGCTAAACTTCTCATGCTGTTTTGTCTCGCGCGGAGCCCAGTGATCCTTTATCACATTAATGCGATAGCATCGCAACCGTAGCAACAAACGTTGCATTGGCTCTTGAATGACCGCACCACTGTGCGGTTTAGTCGATTTTCGCAGTTCCTCGTCTCCCCCTCCATGTGAATGCGCTGGGTAGGGGGATGATCCGCGGACGTGTCGTTGCTTATGAATCCGTTCGCAAATCAATCCGTCGTGCAAGTTGGCCGGCGCTGATGGCACTATGTTGGCGCCTTTTTGGACGTAAGAACTGTGAAAGAAAACGCACTAAGCGGGAAATTAATACATGCGTTCCTATGGAAGCTCGGTGGTACTGGCGCTTCTGAACGTAAAAGCAGACAGGAAAAAAGCAAAAACCGGGAACGTATTAATGACGTTAAACCGTAATTAGGGTTCCATGTTTTTGGGGTTTATTTTTCGACGAATTCGGGGGTGTTCTTTTAGGATAAATTTTTTCCCACAAATTAGGAATTTCTCAGTATCAGTTGTTTGTTAAAGAAAAAAAAATCGTGGTTCACCGGGGCTTCTGTCGAAGAAAACAGGTCACGGACATGGAAATTCCCCAACCTTCCAAGAACATGCACGGGGCCCGCATATTTGAAATACGCCCCCGTATCGATAATAAAACAAAACGAAACAATGTGTGCGGTTCCAAAGAAAGGAGTGGCCTTGCAGGCAGTTCGATGAAGGCTGTGTTCCAGGTGAACTGAAAATAAAGCTATGGATAAAGATTTCTTCCCAGAAAGCTTGGGTTTTTCTCCTTCGAAGTCAGCTCGAATTCGGGGCTTTTCGGTTTTCCGCCGATTTTGATAAAACCGACTCGGGGGTTAATCTTCAGGGTTCGTCGGTATTTACTGAAAACATGAAACCCTATTTATAATGGTTCGCACATCATGCCCATGCTTCTTGTCGTATCACATAGTCATTTCTGGCCACAAGAAAACAAAAAGAAGATCCCTTTCCAATTTCATTTTTCAAGTGGTTCTTCTCATCCAGTTCTGTGTGCGCTACACCTAAAAGAAACACCTGCATGTACTGCTCCCAAAGCAACTTCGGTTCGAGCAACGTCTTAGAAAAGAAGAGGTCCTCCCACCCGCCGTGAGGTGCTTCGAGGAGCAGACGACTGTTCTTGTCCAGCAGACGCAGCAGATTTCCCTGGGCCCCATCGAACGGCTGCCCACTCTGCAGGCTGCAACGAGAATCCGCCGTCAATAATCGCCCGACTTTCCTCAACTCTGCTCGGAGGGAATTGCACTCTGAATCCAATCCAGTTTCATAAGTGTGCATTGGATTAGCATTTATTTAGGAACAAGCCAAATGCAAAGCCAGAGTTTAGTGCCTAAATTCAGGGGAGGGGGGGAGGGGGGAGTGAAGGGAAGAGAGCAGAAATAAAAAGATAGGCGACCAGATGTCGCTGTGTGAACAAGCGATAAGAGACCACAACAAAGCCGCCAAAAATGGCCCAATATTTCCAAAAGCTGACTCAGAAAACCAGCCCCACAAACAAATGACTCATAGGCGGGTCCCTACATATAGCAAGCGCAACTGCCAAACACAAAACAAGCAAACAGGAACACGTACCAGCGCAGGTAGTGATAGGCGGCGTTGCAACCCACGTGGGCACAACCTGCCAGCGTGCCCAGCTGGTTGTGGGGCATGCCAGCCTCCGGGTCCAGTCCCAGTGCCTGCCAGTAGTAGCGCTGGGAGAGCAAGGCCCACCGCTCCCTCTCTCCGCTGCCCGGGGCTCCCAGCTCGCTCAGGTACCGCGCTGGACACAAGTGGAAACCTCAATGGGGGGGACGGGACACGCTCCCTCGCACACGGCTAATTGGGCCATCTAAGGCCCGCTCCAGATGGGTAACATCTTTCCAGCATCTTGCGGTTGAAACACCGGCACTATGGGCCTCCCATGTTCATGAGAAGCAACCGCTGGAACTCAAATTGTTATGTTTTGCAGTTGTGATTTAAAGTTGTAACCCTCTCGCATTATTTAGGCACAAAGTTAGGCATTAACGACACATTTTGATATATTTAAGATGGCGTCGAGAATGCTAACCGATCTACCTGAAACAGGGTTCTCCCCACCGTGGGCGGCAGTGGCTTTGCTGCCCACTGCTCTGACTGACCGCCCATCGCTCGATTATGCGCCACAGGATGACAATGCGATTTTGCCCGTGCACACGGCTGCAGACAGTCCTCAGCAAGCCTGCGCACCGCCACGTTATTTCATCGCTGACTGCTGCCACTCCTTCAAACAAGGAGAGCGGAGCCAACACCAACGAGAAAACAAGGCCGTAGTGATGACATTTCTGCGACATCAGCAAAGGCCAACGCTGGACACAGATTGGAAACGAGTGCTGAGTCAGCGCGCGGCTTTGAGTCAAGATTGAGCCGAACGTTGATGCAATCGTCGTGTCCAACCTGTGACCAGCGATGGCCTTTGCTAATGACATCTCTATCAGCACTACGGCTATGTTATTGAGGGGTTGGCGGAGCGCCGCCGGCGGTACGGGGATGGCGGGGGGTGCTTGGCTGAGTAGAAACACAAAATAAACATACACGACGAATACGCACCATGCAGCAGTTTTCTCCGCAGGCTGCGAGCAACAGAGAGCAGAGGAGAGTACTTTTCTTTCACTGCTCAATGTTTGCTAGTGCCCTGGCTTGCTTTATCTTCGCCTCTTCGCTCGGTCCCCGCCTTTCCTTCCAGCCTTTCATTTTTTTTTTCAAGGCACCTTTGTTTTTGTTTTGTTTTGTTACATCAACGTCTACCGATGGCCAGATTGTCTTCATTGTCACTTGCCCCCTCATCTTCACAAGAACTGAGTTCAGGGGCACAATCTTCGTCCCTCCACTCGAAGAACAGAGCTCAACACCACCCTTACTTTGAGTTGAACTATCCAGATCTGTGACTTTTCTTTTGCGGGAACAAGACACGCGCAATTCACCAGTGTGAGATGCCATTTTTAAATAAATGAGGCCAGCCTAAACTTTAAAAGCCCGCTAAAAGCAGCTTCACAAATATTTTTACATCACGGAGTGTGCCGGTCATTTTGCTTATCCCGTCAAAATTAACTGGACGAGTGAAACATCTCAAAACCAGTAATATGACGGATGAGCTGTACTTATCCAAAGCAAGTTCTGCCAGCACTGTGGTGACGAGTCAGGCTTGTCCAAAGCAGTTAAAGAATCATGTACCAAGTAGCCCGCTCCCCCATTTTTATTACATTTTACACCTCTCATTTTGACAAAATCAATGTCGCAGTAACCATGTTCTTTGGAGGTTTTGTGCAAGATAAGCTTAGCTCGTGAAAAAGGAGTCTTTGTGCCTCGTTATTTGGGTGAATGCACCCTCTATATCCTTACTAAAAACATACACCGTCCAATTACACCTCTCGGCTCAATTACGCCGCTATCCTTCGAGAAACCAAATTCCGAGGTCCCCTTGAAGGTCCAACACCATGGAGGTAGGAAGCTTCTGGAGGTGACATAACGCCATCAGAGGTGAAGCCAAAATCATAATAATAAGTTTTATTTCTCATCAATGATGAAGTGTAGGCCGAAGAAAAAAGCTGAAAAGGACCAGCTTGACGGGTCTCCGGCCCCCTACAGTGGCAAAACAGACGGCAGCAAGAACAACAAATAAATTATAAAACAGGGAAAGGAACTAAAGAATGACATACAGTGGCTTGAAAGTCATTCATGAATACATTTTTAGCATTGACAGTACAAATTTCACATTTATTTAGCCCAGGTCCAAATCATTATTGTGAGGCTGTTGAGTAAATACGCTAGGGTGTGTTTGAGCATTTGTTTACCATGATTTGTCATGTGAGGGATCATCCTCAAATACTCAGTGTGACGAGTGGGATACGCCTGAATATTTTTGGTCAGTGCTGAAAGTTCAGCTAGAAAGCGAGAATACCCTTGGTCCTCGTGGAGGGACACGCCCTCAACGATGACCAAGAGACGCTATTGGATGAAAAGGAAAGCTGACTGACTTGGCGCCAACAGCTTCTCTGGTCACCTACGGGGCCCCGAGGGTGACCAAAGCAGCCATTGAGTCAGCTCTCCTTTTTGTCCAATAGCGTCTGTTGGTTTTGGTCATTGTTAGGGGCGTGTCCCTCCACACTTCTGGCTTCACCTCTGGCAGGCTCATGTCGCCCCCAGAAGCTTCCTACTTCCGTGTCAAACACCTTGTCAGATCCACCCTGCAGGACGCCAAGCTTTGAATGTCCCTGGAAATCCCAAAGACACTTCTGTGGCCGCCACTCACCCAGGTCTCCGAGACAGAGGAGCAGGCGGTGGCATGCCTGGCGGGCCCACAACACCAGGGACTCCTCGTGCTGCCCCGATGCGTCGTGGCCGTGGTGTGGCGGCTGCTGACGACGCTGCGACAGGCGCCCTGGCAACCCGGCAGACGGTTAGCCACGCGGTCAGGGATCGCCGACGGCATGAAGCGACGGGAGCTTACGGCCAAACTTCATTTTAACTTGACCCCTGAACTACCCTTCACGAATGTGACTCGTGTCTTGGTTCTGGAGCTTGTTTTGTGCAGTCTTTTGCGTATGACGCCGTTACCACAACCTGTCGGCAGGCACGGGTTGTCGGACTGGTTGCATGAGGCAAGGAAAGAATAAAGCTCACTTTTCTCCTTTTGACCCATAGGGTGAGGAGGTACCACCATTGCATGTGTTGCGACTTTTGGGTTGTGCAGTACGGTAAACGAATGTTTGTGCTTAGCGGTGATATGGGATTCTTCACCGTTCTATATAAATTCGGAATTTAATCTAGGTGGTGCGAGCCCTGCCTGATTAAAAGGGTTCAGCCGTGTCCACCCATCCACCCTTCCTTCGCCCCCTCAGGGTATTTTAATTATTTTCCCGCATTTTCATAAAAATAAAAAGAAGAAAAGGTTGACAGAATCAAGCATTGAAAAGGCAGCATGTCCTCAACATGGAAGTTTGCTTTAGCTGATCAATAAATACAGGAACTTTTGTTTGAAAGTGACGAGTGCTGTACCATTCTGTTAATGAGTTGGTATCACCTTTCTGATGACTTGCAAAACTTAAAATTAACTATATGCAAAAAAACAAATACTGGAAACATTCCCTTGGCCTCTAGATGACTCAGTCTTCTCGGATGCACACAATGATACCATACAGAAATGAACTACTGGACACAACAGATAGCAAGGAACTAATAGTGAGAGCAACACAAAACATCTGAGGGCCAAGTGACTGTTTCTTTTAATTTTCGTACACACTGCCTATTTAAAAAAACAAAACAAAAAAAACTTTATAATTTGTTTTATAAAAAAAAAAAAGAAAAAAAAAGCATGCAATGGGTTAAGAGGAACACTGGTCCTAAAGCTTTTCTCCTTATTTTTTTGACCAAACCAAATGAAACTATACAAGCCTGCTCAGTATTTTTGCCAATCAGTAAATTAGTCTTAAAAAATAATTAAAACTTGCCTGCCCTTGTTTGTAGGAACATAACAAAAATCTAGTTAACAAAAAAATATATTTAACACAGGCCAGAGACTACATGGTATAAAAAATACAACGTTGGAAGTACTTTTGAGATTGAATCATTGTCAATGGTATTACAACACATTGAAGATCAGTGTTTAATGTGCAGCTACTAAGTAATTTCATTTTATCTAACTTATTTTACATAAATTGCATCTAGCAATGCCTTTGAGTGTGAAAGCAAGAAAGCCGAAGTCACAATATAAATACATACATAAAACAACTGATCAAATGACGGATTTTCCAGACTTATATAGAGAAATCTGAGTGCAGTCACTCACATGTACGGCTGTAACAACTAACCATATTACCAATCTCGAAGGAGTTCCACTGAAACTGAATAAACTTGGGAATTATGTCCTAGTCAAAGAGGTCCTGCTGGCCTCCGGACAGTACTCACCCCTGGGCAGCCCCCGGTGTGACCAGCGGAGGGGCACGTCCACCGAGCTTTCCAAGTCAAGCCGGTACTCTGCCTGCAGCCTGATCAGCAGGTGGTGGTAGTGGCCCAGCCCGGACGTCAGGTGGGCTCGCAGGCTGAGGACGGCCTCCTCTTCCTCATCATCCTTCACCCTCTCTCCCTCTCCATTGCCCTGCACCCCCTGCGTGAGCAAGAGAGCATGCTTCAGCCAAAAGGAAAGCTGCACGCACGATTCTGGGAGGCGGAACAAACTCGGAACGCCCACACCCCACTTGACTCGATTTGGTCGACGCAGCTCCTCTCTCCGTTGATTACAACACTTTTGGACAGGGTGTCTAGCAGATTATTATTTTGAAATTCCCTCACTTTTCCAGGTCTTCCCTCACAATTTCAGGTGAAATTTCCTGAGCACTGTAGAATCGGTTAAATAGATAAGACCATTACAACACAGGGTATTGAGCATTGAGCACTGTAAGGATCATTTTGCACAAGCTTAATCCCACTTGCATATTCCAAAATATTCGACTTCGTCCAGTCCGGATTAAACGAGCACTTTCTCGCCGCCGACATCGTCAGTGAAGAGGCCACTTCCGGAAACTCTGTGAAAACACTACGCTCAATCACAGACGTCAATAACCGAATGGCAGCATGGCCACCAGATGCACACTTTCGGATACTTTCGGCTTAATGCTTGGATTGGACTGGGGTCTGCGACTTTTCCGTTTGTTACTAAATCTAGTAGCTCTAACTGGATCTAGCCTAGTGTCGCGTCCTCAATCCAATCCAAGGCTTGGACTGGATTTGTCGGCTGTTCCCTGTGCGTCGGGTGAGCAGAGACCGCGCTCCACTCTAAGCAGAATTTATTGCCTATTTTTCTGCCTTTAAGTCCTCAAGTTTTTGCTCAGGGCACTCGATGGCGTTTACGGTTCATGTTTCTTGACTGGGTTCGCCTTTTGACAATGTCCCTGACAATTCCCTGACTTTTCCCAATAATTAAAATTTCCCTGACAATTCCTGGTTTTCCCGGTCGCTAAACACCCTGTTTGGAGCACTGTCGCCACGGCAGCCAACAGTTGCACCAGGGTGGCAAAACAAACTCGAAAGGTGTGTCCGGTTTACTGATGACGAGCGAAATAAGAGACAGGCCCCAGTTCGGTTTTGGCAAGATACGGCATCTGCCCAACTTCCTGGAAGAAAAAATCGGAAAAAATAAGGCAGACATTTATATGTGCACAGTCACCACGATTGAAGGATATGACGGCTATAGCTTACACAGGATTGCCACGAAAAACTGTGCAAAACACAACCAGCTTGTAAGTATCTTATAGCAGCATGGTAATGAGGGATGCACAACTAAGCACCATCTTATAGCAGCATGGTAATGAAGCATGCACAACTAAGCACCATCTTCTTGCATTAAATTTTTTAAAATCTGGAACGACGTTGCTCTACCGTGCTGCGGCCCTAAACTACGCCTTTGCTTACAACACTTGAGCCATGGTTACCTTACAAGTTTTGAAACAGCATGATCCAAATAGCATGGAGCATTTCAAATCGCCTATTCCGTTCGGTGCCACAAGTTGTGTCATTTCTGTGCAGGCTATTTTGGCAGTGGCATGTGCTAGCTAATGCTGGATACAAAACATAAAGTGTCTCAGAAACAGAGATGATGACAAAGAGACCCAGGACAAACAACTAACCAACACTGCTTGCTAACATAAAACAAGAAGCCTCGTGGCCAACCCAGATATAACCCTCACCGGTACTGCTTGCTCATAGACAGGTTCTTTTATTGCTTGTTGGTAACTTTCAAACATAAGAAAGGTCGCTATAAAGCTGCATTTGCATCTCTACGACCAGTGCTTGCTGTGTGTTCACTCAGTAGTGTGGCGGCGAAGCCATACGGTACTGTGTCTGTAGTCACATTTCTGTCCCCTGTCCCTTCTCTCTGCCTTTGCTTTTGGCTCCTAAACATTTGATTACCACCAGTTTATCTGCCTTCTTGACCCACAAAATTTAAGATCATGCCCAGCAAGGTTTTGAGACGCCTCGTGCCTTCACTAAGATATAGTGCTAACATCACCGCTAGCATAATAAAAAGATTCACGGAATCCCCGTGGCTCGGTCGAGAACAACTATCCTCAACTTTGAATTGGTGGTTCGTGCACTGCCTGCAGCACGGTAATATTGGATGGGATCAGCTAGTCTCGACGGGGAGCTCAATGATTTCCGAGTCGGCTTACTCAGCAAAAGTAAAGTCTACTTCAAATGTCCACTTCCGAGTTGATAGCCCCCATATCCATCTGTTTGCTGGACTGCAGCCTAAAGAAAAACTTTGCATTTGCATTCCCCAAGGTGCTCCGAGGACAACCACGTTCAACGTATACGGTTAGGCTGTAAAACATTATTGTCTGTAAATAGGACATTTCACAGACCCTCCCATTACTACAAGAGGAGCAGTATGCGGGGAAGGCACCCGTGCACGGGGGAAGGCTCACCCTCTTGGGGGCCTTGAACTGCTGCACGGCCTCATAGTAGACCTTGCGCCAGGTGAGTTCTTCCGCCTGACGGCCATACTCCAAGGGAGCAGCAAACAGCAGCCGCTCGCAGTATTCCTTCACCCTGATAGAATCGGGCAGGACAGAGCTCGTGAGTGGGGTCAAAGTTAAAAGACAAACAAACACACGTAGCAACTTTTGAGAAAGGAAAACAAGTGCAATATAGTGTAGACTGCCAGCTTTGTTAGAGGGACATTAGGTGAAGACAGTGTATAAGGCTCCACACATAGCTCTGTCTTTCTCATTCCTTCCTTCATTTCCAGTTGATTATGATCATCTTTGTTAAACCTCCTCTCGAGCTATCCTTTTATTGTTTAATGTATGTCATTAGCTTCACAGACGTCCAGGAGTGACTGTGTCCTTGCCCACCGTCTTGTTCCAGGACACCACATTACAGTTTCCCATACTGTATTTCGTGGTGTGCCAATTTCTGTGAACCAGGAACAAGTAACAAATTCTTAGGTGAGTCTAATTAAATATCAAGAACCTTAAGCATAACCCGGTTTTGCCTGCAACAGTTTCTTTCAAGACTAATGTACGGGCCGAATCTACAGCTCAGCAAAAAATTCTCACCTCTGCGTCTTTGAGGGTAGTGAAGGAGAGAAAGAAGAAGCTAAGCGAGGAGGATGCAATAAAGGAACAAGCATCTGAAAATGGACAGCGCAAAGTATATGTCCGCCTGTAAAGACGTAAGACAGATCTGGTGGATCAGAGGCAGGATAAGTGGGGTGCGACTAAGCACATGTGCATTGCGAGGCCTCGAGTTACCGAAAAAAGAAGCGTGCTGGTAAAAGGAAAGGGTTACTGATTTGCCCCTCACCTTGTCCTGAGCAGTGTCACCTCTGGAGCCATGCGGGCCCTGGCGGATGTAGCATTGCGCAGCTGCTCCTCCAGCTTGCGCACCGCCTCTGAGGCACTCCTGCATAGAAGACTGCCATTGGGGGAAACAGCAACGAGAGCAATCGAGGCAAACATCTTAGTGCTGAACTGACATGATTAGATTGGCAGGAAGGCCCTTCTGTTGTCCCACCTCCAGGATGACCTTGGTACCTTCAATGATGCCTCTCGTGAGCTTCGAGCGTGCAAGCGCAATCAAGGCATGGCAGCAGGGAACAAGCATGCATTGGAAGTCTGGCAACCAAAAGGGCCGCCCTATCGTTCTAATTCTGCCACCGACTATAGTGCGGAAGTGCTAGATTTTAGGTTGTGGGTGCCTCGGGAGTCGGAAGCACCACAGCACAGCTGCTGTCGGGGTGCTCGTACGGTATACCCACACATGACGAGCTGGGAGTCGGTTGTGAAAGTGGTTGAGCACGAGGGAGGCATTGCCCTGTCAGGGAAAGGGCCAGCATTGCCAGCAATGAGAACTTTCTTCGGTTTGCTGCTGCCATAAACGTTCCACGCTGCCAACTAGGTCACCCCTCCATGATGGCAGAAATTCAACACTTTTTAATTAATTTTCAAAAAGTAGAATGAATAGAACTTTAGTCTTTTTCTGGGGGGGGGGGGGGGGGGGGGGGGTGGCATGAGCTTTTGAAGTCTTTCCTCTGGCTACAGGAGTGAGCAGCAGGTGTAGACCTGTTTCCAGCCTTTAGATAATATATTATTCAAGAGGCATATACAACCCTAACGGCACTTTCTGTTGTGTTTGTCAGGTATTGAAAATATTAATGAAATCCCGTATACCAGGTGTTTCACTGAATATTGACAAAAAGTTTTGTGCAAGCATTAAAGGGGCCCTGCAATCATATTTAAGCGTCTACCTTTTTTGCGGTTTCCACGTCTCTTGGGGTTCGGGCAAGCCAGCGGGCACGGAGAGAGTAACTAAATATCCGTGTGTCATATTTTAACCGGAAGACACGGAAACCTCCTCCGCCGACGAGGGCGACCCGCGGTACCGAAAGCGCGCAAAATGTGACGTCTTTGGTCCTGGGCTTAGTACTGGTCAGAGCCGCTAAAAGCTTCTTTTTAGTCGAAATACAAAATATAAGTGGCGAGAACCGTTTCAATTATTTATAAAACTAGTTTTTGTTCAGTATTTTAGATCAGAAAAGAAACAAATACAGTTTATAAAGTACGGAAACAAGAAATGACCTGTTGACAAACCCGCCACCAAGTGGTGGAAAAGGCGGCGCATATTAGAAAAGAGTAGTGGGATCAGGCGCCGACACGGAAAGGTCCCGGATGTACGCGGCGGCGCTGCGGTCGTTTACGGACTGGAGGATCCGACCGGCTCCGAGCGTTCCGAAGGCCTTCAGCGAGTAGCTTTGTCTTGCGTTTTGACCATTTCGCGGTACGGCAGCGCGAAGTGACTCCCATTCTGAACTGATCTTTACCTCGTGTTTGCTGTCGTTTGTGGCGAATGAAGTGTCATGCCGGATTAGTGTTTAATCGCGCAGCAAATGCAATGAGAGCCGCTCTGGCTGCCTGCTGTATACAGCCTATCCAGAATACGCTTTAGTGGCGCCCTCTCGCGCCGTCAACATGGAGTGCGGCAGCCGCGAGCGCTCGCTCTGCTCACTATCCCTCCTCTAGTTCACGGCCGCTCAAGCAACCAAGGATGTCATGAGGGAGGTTATTTTTTGCTTGTTTTTACCATTTTTAATTTGCCTATAACTCTTAAAATAAGGCGAAATTTGAGAAAAGAAAAGTTACATTATGTTACTACGGTCAGTGCGCTCAGGGTTGGTGCAAATTAAAAACCAGTAAAAAAGTGCTTGCAGGGCCCCTTTAAGGATTGCACAGAAACAAGGTAGGCACCATATTAGTCACCATCAACAGGTCTATTTATTAAGGTACATATTGTTTAGAATAAGCATGCTTTCAAAGAAATTTGCATAATTATATTTTTAATTAGTGAGAATAGTTAGCTTCAATCAGAGCGTCGAACCAGAACCAAATCGAAAACCGGAATTGTTAGTTTTAGGCAAACCAGAACTGAACCGAACCTAAATCTTCGCCGCCATCTTGGAACTGAACCAGAAAGAAATATAATGGCAACTGGTTCAAAACGGTTCACGGTAATTTTTTTGTTGTTCGCTAACATCACAAATTAAATATTTGAGAATAAACAAAATGGCAGCTGTATTTTAATGTATCATCAAATCGTCATATACAGAACAGCAATGTATGAGGAATTGGGGGTTTACGTGGTGCTTTTGTATTCGCACTATGATTAATCATGCGTCATCATGGTGTCAAGACATGCCGTCAAGTAATGTGACGTCACGTGCACCGTGACTCGCTGTGTCAAGTATATTCAAATTGAGAACGTCACTGGATTCATTAGCATTCTTGACACCATCACTTCATGTGACATTGCGACTTTGCACCGCAAGTAACGCGACAGTGACCTACTCAATGGCCCAAAAAGAGAGATCCTAGTGGCCTCAGAGGGACAGCCAAACATTGGCAGCCCGGCTGTCCCTCTGAGGACGTTCTCAAGCTATTCACCAAGCTTCAATCACCTCCATATTTTGTCTAAGGTTAACAATTTTTGGGTGCAATAAACAAAAAAAGAAAGGAAAGAAAGAAAAGGAGGATTATTGCTACCAAATGACACAACTAAAATTGTCGAATTAACAACCCCACACGGAGAGAAGTCAAGAGCACCCCAGAAATACTAAAAAAAAATATCTCTGGTGGAGCAACGAAAAAAGGAAAGAAAGAGGAGGAGGGCGTAGTCTTAAAAACGTTAGTGTTGTAAAGTTTCCTCGGCCCCGCATCTACGACACAGACAGGATAGCGTAGCCCCAAAAACTACTTTGTTTGTAAAAACAATCTTGCCAGAAAGTGTGACTTTGTGCTGCCAGATGCTTGCACTCTTCCTAATAACACTTCAGCGAAGCAAGAATAATTTGTACATTTCAAATGCATAGTGTGCACTGATCTTACATTAGCTGCTATTGGGGCGGCCTTGCTGCTGAGTGCGTACATTCTGCAGTGTGTATTTTTGCACCACCAGATTTGATTTTCTCAGCAAGAACAAATTGTAACCACCGCTGGCATATAGTATTATGACATCATGTGCAAACCATGTTAAACAGTTCAGCTTCTTGGTGCAATGCAATGTTTGCAACACTAGCAAAAGTAGATGTCCAAATTGTAAAATTGTTCAGTATGCATATATAGCCAGTCTTGTACACGTTACTAAAGAAAAGTAATCGATTACAATTACTATTACTTTTGGCTAAAAAGTATTTGATCAGATTACTTGATTACTCGACAGCAAAAGTAATTGGACATTACTTTAAGAAGTAACCGTTACTTTTCCGATTACTTTATTGTGTGAAAACTTACATCTTTAGCGCTCATAACAATGAACTACTTCCAACCTATATTTCACACTTTCACAAGTATTGAAGAAAAAAAACGGGTTCCCTCTTCGTGGTCGTTGCACCTTCACAATGCGGGCACAAGCATAGCATTCGTTTGTAGAAGCTTAATGATTTGGGCGTTAGCCAGTTGGGGGGGGGGGGGGGGGGGCGGTGAGGGAGTGGAGGAGGTTCTCTTGTTAAGCTTAAGCAAGGGTTGTCGCTCAAAGTTTGCATTGCTCATTTCATTATTCACACCTGGATGAACTCGCGTGTTATACAAAAGAGCAGCAGCTCCAGGATTTGAAACGGATCATGTGTAGTATCCATTAGCAGAAAAGATTGCCCCGACCACTTCGCAACTCGAAACCTTGCTTGTCACAAAGACCATGTAGGGAAAATAGGGAAATATTTTAACTGGCTTTGTTATATTTTGGATGCGCTTTATACATTCTTCGATTCTGATTCTTCTACGGACTGCGAGTAGGTATCGTAAGCAGGATTGTTTTTAGGGGTGAAGCTCCTTAGCGGCGAAGCTCCTTAGCGGACAAGGCGAAGGCCTTGTCCATCCGTTTGTTCGTCCTGCGTCCGTGTTCACATAAAAAAAAAAAAAACAATGTTTGCGGAGTTGACAGGATTTGAACCTGTGCAGTGTCGTGATTGAGGGTTCCGACGAAGGCTCCCAGCCCGGCGACACTAATTTGTGCCGGGTAGGAGACAGGATCGAGGAGCCAGGAGGCGACGAGCTCAGCAAAACAGAACACACTATATTTACATTAATTATAACATCCTTTCAGTGTTCGTACCATAACAACTTCACGGGTGTCCTTTCTTTATATATCCGCCTTTCAACTCGCCGTCCATTGGCTTGTCCAATCGCAGGGGCCTACGTGGTCCTCGGTAGCCAATGTGGAAGAAGTGCGTGTGCCAACGGCCAGCCAATGCCAGAGAAGTTCGTGGCGGGTCTCTCAGCGTGGTGGCTCGCTCGCTGAAGAGTCATCCACACACACACACACAGACACTGACACCCAGCTTGTACAAAGGTTGTCTCGAGAGCCGAGTTCTCCGAAGCTCCCGCACGAGCCGCCGGTCGGTGCGAGAGCGTGCTTTGGTCGACGTGAGCCAGGGGCATGCGCCGCTCTCGTAAATGTGGTACGGGTGTGTCGTAGCCTTTCACAATAGCTCCTCCGGCAACGGGGAGAGCGTTTTGAGGTAGAGCAGTTAGCAACCGCTCTTCCGAGAGACGCGGTTTCGCTCTGGGGTTCTCGGCAGGAGTTCGGGCACTCATTCATCCTGGGAAGAGGTAGACACACGGAACAACCACACCAGACCAAACCCCGGGCCGATGAACACCCAGTTCCCTCCCTCAGTCCGCCAGACCATCACAAATAAAACAAGCAGCTCATCAATTCTCCTCAAAGCCCTTGCGCTACGAAGATAAACTAGAGAGCTTAGAAATACTGTAAGCTGAAAAGCTGGATACAACCGACACCCGTGAAAAAAAAAGAAAACAACAACGACAAAACAGATTAATTGCCCCCACTATAGCCGGCTCACCGAGATAGTCATTTCTCTGAACACGCCTTGCGATTCACAACAGAATTTT